AAAAAAAAAAAAAAAAAGGTGTGGTTAATCTTATAGTCCAGAAACAGAGGACCCTAGGACCATCAGGAGAGGAACGCACAAATAGAATGATAGAATGCGGGACTTTATCCAGAGAAGGAGCAGCGCCAGAGATGGAAACAGAGATGGGGGCATGGAGAAGGGGGAGCAACTGAGGACTCTAGATTCATGGACTAAGAAGAGAGGGACTAAGAGCTGGTGGCCTGGTGGCCGGGAACCGACTTGCAGAATGTGCCTTTTGGAGATGTAAATCATTATTTATGTCTGAGTGGCTTTTTTTTTGATTGTGTGTTTTTTAAAAAAAGCTAAAGTGGATAGAGAGAAATACTGTTAACTGATGGTACATGGTGGGGGATTATAATCAATGTAATGAAACAAGGTATATGATTTGTTGGATGTAAAACTGATGATGTGCCCTGTAAACTTTCATTCAATCCACAATAAAAACCTTAAATTAAAAAAAAAAAAGAAAGAAACCTCTCGAATCCAGGCTCCAGTATGTAGACTGTGAGGAGTCTGGAGGGGCGGCAGGCTACGTGGTGTGGCCTGTGTTTCAGTAACGCTGAACCATCTTCAAGCTTTTCCTTCAGCGTTTCTTTGACCAATTAGGGTCTTTTAAGATGGACTTGTTTTTTTCCAACTTATATGGCAAATAAGAGGATTGTTGTCATCAAGTCAGTTCTGACTCAGTGACCTTGTATAGGGTTTCTAAGGAGCAGCTGGTGAGCTTGAATCCTTGCAGTTCAGTGCCACACCAATGGCTTTAGAGTAGCAATATATATATATATTTTTTTTTTTTAATTCAGACTTAGAGAAAGGTTGGTACAAAATGTTAGTGAAAAATTTTCCCATGCATCTTTCATTTACATCCCCAAATATTGACATCTTGCATAACCACAGTTGAATGATCAGGAAATTATTTTGATTGTTAACATGGTTGTGGTTACCTATATTACATAAATACTGTTATCTCTCCCTGGGTGGTGTAAGTGGCTCATGCACTCAACTGTCAACCCAAAGGTTCCTGTCCACTCAGAGGTACCCGAGAAGCAAGGCCTAATGGTCTGCTTCCACAAAGGCAAACCGCTGAAAACCTGTGGAGCACGGGGCTCGCCATGAGTCCGAATTGATTCCTAGACAGCTGGCTCTTGTCTGTTCTACAGATCTTGTTCAGATGTCATCAGCTCTTCCACCAGTGCCCTTTCTCTGGTCCAGGATTTCATTGTGTTCAGTTTTGATGGCTTCTTAATTTCCTTTCGTGTTGACCAGTTCCTCAAATCTTTCTGGCTTTCATGGCCTTGATACGTTTTTAGAATACTGGTCAGTTGTTTTGTAACTGTCCTTCAATTTGAATTTGTCTTGTTTCCCCCTGATTAAGTTAGCTTTTGAGTTTGAGGATAAGAATCTCACAGAAGTGATGGTGTGTCCTTGGTGCATCCTGTCAGGAGCCTTTGATGTCCGTTTGTCCTGTTATTGGCAATGCTGACTTTGACCACTTGGTGAAGGTGGTGTCTGCCAGGTGTCTCCACTGCAAGGTTGTTGTTAGGTGCTGTCAAGTCCATTTTGACTCAGAGTGACACCATGTGGCAGAGTGAGCCAAGACATAAGTGGTTTTTAGCTAAGACGATGCTGATCGTGATGAAAAGCACAGGAGTGTGGATTATCTGCATCTTCTGTTTCTTTGTGTCTTTAGCTTCCCATGACATAAACACATACGTTGCTAAACTGTTAGTGCCACCGAGTTGATTTGAACTCATAGGAACACTGTATATGCTTTCCGAAGAGTAGCCGGTGGATTTGAACTGCTAACCTTGCTGTTCACAGTCCAGTCCTTATCTTACAACACCACACCAGGACTCCAAATACATAACATACATGCATGCATACAAATGTTTTTTAAAAGGAGCCAGAACCTAAAAGTTGAAGCAGAGCTGTTGGTAAAAGCCAGGCAACCAGGACAGTGAGGAGAGTCATTGTGTGTCTACAGAAAGTGCTCCGTCAATAGCTAATTTTATGATTTCCTCGCTGGATGCTCATCAGCATCGGGCACACACACGCACACTTCACTGTTGAGTATCTTCAAGATCCAACAGCGAGTGTGCACAATTATTAGAATGAAATTTTGATTCAGCTTTTTAAGATCCCAATAACAATTCTATAAGGATGAGCTCATTTAAAATTAATTTAGATGTATAACCTACCCAAGTTCTTCTTACAAGGACCTGTATTATACTGCCCTAACCGCTACTTTGTTGGTACCCCATCAGTGACCACCGACTTCTGGCCTGCTAGATTAGGCTGTTGTTTGTGTGGATTATTAATCCTATAGATGACTTTCTTCTGCAAGTCTTTGGTTTCCTGCTTTCTCTTTTCCTCTGGATAAGTGAAGACCATTAGTTGTTTCTTAGATGGCTATTTGCAAGCTTTTAATACCCCAGATGCCACTCACCAAAATAGGATATAGAACATAAACTTTATGGACTATGTTATGCCAACTGACCAAGATGTACCATGAGACTATGGTGCTGATCCCTCAAGACCAGGAAATCAATCCTTCAAAAGTGTTTGGTTATGGCTAAGAAGTCTCCATAATTATGTCCTGTAAGTGCTGTATATGTGCATACACATAAACATGTACTCGCATATGCATATACACATAAATGTTTACATACATACATATGTGTGTGTGTACCACACACAGTTTTTGGTTGCTATTGTTCCAAAATTATATGTGTCCTTTTTTCTTGTGTACATTTCAGTGAAAGCATTTGCCTTCGTTAAATTGTGCAAACCTCACCCTAAAACACTAAAAATTCAGTGTTAGCTTTCCCATCACCAAAAAGCAAATGTCTGAGTCCCTCCCCCTCCTCCCCATTCCCTGGTAACCACTAATGAACATTAGTTTCGTTATACATGTTTGTGCATGCCCTTTCATAAAATATTTGTTTTGTTCTTTTATTTTAATTAACTTATTTTGCTCAACATAGTGCCCTCCAGGGTCATCCATGTTTCAGACTCTTTGGGGGGGGGACTCATTTTATGCTTTAAATAATTTTATACATCATTTTTCTTATTCTGCCCGTTGTCTTTGGACTCTAAGATGCAATAATTTGCATTAAACTCTCCAGATAAGTAAATGCCCACTCACCCTCTCTTTATCTCCTAAAGAGAGTCTTATTTTTAATAATTACTGAGATTTTCAAGGTGTCTACTGAGTGTATTTTGCCTAGCTCATAAGTAGAAGGCAGATATGTTGTTGACTGACAAAGTTTTAAAATTCAGTTGCTCAGAAACTCTGCCATCTGCTTGGGATGAATGTGATGGAGTTTACCCGGGCGATACTTACCCCTCGGATCAAGGTCGGCCGAGACTACGTGCAGAAAGCCCAGACCAAAGAACAAGTACGTTTACTATTAATTGTTATTGCAGATTTGTTTTAATGACATGTTGTGGTCTGATTGGCATGTAAGGAATTGCATCAATAGAAACCTCATGATATGGTATCTTGGTAGCCATAGAGTTTATTTTCTGTGATATATTTTACTTTTTCTCTTAAGCAGAAAAATCCTCAGAGGTGATTTGGTTTTTTTGTTGTTGTTGTTGTTTTAAGTAAATTTGAACTACTTTTCTCCCGTCCTCCCTAGGTGGATAGATGACCTAGTGTGACAAGTTTCTGTACTTTATGAGCCGGTCCAGTAGAGGGAGGCCCTGCTGCCTTTCCCTGTGGTGGAATCTTAGTTATCCATTTATTGTGCTGCTACTTTGAAAAATACATCATAGCTTCCACTCAGAAAGTTGGAAAGTGGTTCTTCCGTGAGGAAATGTCATCTGACCGAGCTCACTCTAGACAGATATGCTCCTGGAACCCCAGAGACCCGAGAGGAGTTTCTTTTCCTCACTTCAAACTGATTATCCCCAGTTCGCATTTAATTCTACTAAAACTGCCCTCTGAGGATGCGTAAAATGGAGACATAATTAAGCAGTCTTACTTCAGGGATTTTTAAGTATAATAGTAAGCTCTATATGACATGCTGTTAATGCTTTATTGAGATACTCTCCATAATAAACCATTGATGTTGTCTAATTTTAGGCAGACTTTGCAGTAGAAGCACTGGCAAAAGCTACCTATGAGCGTCTCTTTCGCTGGCTCGTTCACCGCATTAATAAAGCTCTAGATAGGACCAAACGCCAGGGAGCATCTTTCATTGGAATCCTGGATATTGCTGGATTTGAAATATTTGAGGTATTATTTCCTTATTCCCCTCTCCTTTCCTCCCTCTTCTTCTTCTTTCCTTTCATTTATTCTTTTTATGCATATTCATTAATTAAAGCTCATTGTGGACAGGACCCAGGGATACAGTAATAAGCGGGACAGAAGTGGTTCCTACCCTGCAGTAGATGACAAACAGCTGCTTAATCCACAGCTTTGGGAATCGGAGGCAATCAATGAGATGCTGTGATAACAATAATTGGGGAGGGCACCTTTTGGCAGATGATTCGGGGACGCATCTCTGCAAGCTATCAGTTAGGCATACTTGAAGTATGAAAAGACAGCAAGCTTAGCAACCTGTGTGTGGGAGACACTGCTCGCACACCAATCTGACTAGAGATGGCTGAACACAGGGAGGGAAGCACTGAATTATGAAGTGTAATGAGGCAACAGTAGAAGTGGGAGACCATTGGCAAAATGATGATGGCTAGGATAGAGAATCAAGGATCCCGGATGGTGCAATAGATCAGGCATTGGGCTGCTAATCACAAAGGCAATTCCAACCCACCAATCCACTCCTTGAGAGAAAGATGAAGCTGTCTGCTCCCATAAAGATTTATAATCCTGGAAACCCTATGAGTCAGAATCAACTTAATGGCAGTTGGCTTGGTTTTAGGGGTAGTCTGGAGAATTTGGGGTGTCACAGCGTGAGATGGAGAAATGTGGAAGGTTAGAGATCTATATGCTAAATATAGAACCAACAGGATCCGATGTATCAGTTTACTTTGCTTCGTTGTTCATTTGACTAGCTTTCTTCAAACATTTACTTGCCACCAATACAAATGACAGCAAAGGTTTGTGGCCACACACTTGCTGTGGTTTTGCAGAGAACATTTGAATGTATATTTTCATCTCTCCTTTAATAGACTGAGTATGTCATAAAGAGTAAATACTAAGTTCAGTAGTACTTCCTGAGATCAGCATGCTGCTGTAGCTGGTATTATAGAATGACTTGTCTGTTTTTTAAAATGGACCTGTTGAAAATTGCAAGTCTGTAGATGTGAAATCAGAACTGCTGCCGTTATAAACATGTCCTTCTACTGAGCAGCCACTGCTGCAGGAAGAGATTGCTTTAAAATGTAATTGATTTGTGAATAATGAGAAATCATGAAAGGTGGATAGATATAAATTACATTTAAAAAATCTGTTGCCTTTCTGTAAGTATCAGAAGACATGGTGAAAGAAAAGACGTGTTTTTAACTGCATTAGAACAGACATGATACCTAGGGATAAATTTAAGGGAATAAAAGACAAGATTACAGTGAAGAAAATGCTACTGAGAAAAGCATCAGAAGACACACCCTGTTCTTAGATGGCTAAATAGATGTGATCTCATCATCTTAAGGCAATGTAGAATCTGTTTATATAAACATGAATAAGCACAATTGAGACATATTTATATGGAATGTAGTTTCAACAAGGGCAAACACTGCCCTTACCCTCCTCAGATGATCTCAGTTTAAAATAGTGAGTATTGCATCTCCAAGAAGGGTGGCAGATCGGAGTGGCTTTTTCAGAATACAAATCTCCTACTTGGTTGATGAAACATATGCTCCCTAATTGAAAATAACTTTTTGTCATGAAAGAGATTATTTGTGGGCATGTGCTAGTCATGTGAACATTGTGAATGCTAAAAAAAAAAAAAAAAAAAGTTGAATACCTGGAATGTATTGGATGGTTGCTTTAAGAAATTATGCCTATTCATCCATCCATGCTCCCATCCCAGTCAACAACATGATAGAAGAACTAGACTTCACAGAAACGGCTATAACATGCAGAGATGCCCAAGTTCCCGTCACGAGATAGTGCCAAAGTCAAAAATTGCTAAGAGAAGCCAGGAATGCACGCTGTGTGTCCGGCTGGTTAAGTGCTCAACAACAAATAAAGATGATTGATTTCTTAACTCAGCCTAGAGCCTCAGCCAAAGTAAAGAGCAGAGTGCTGGTGCTGTTATTAAATGCCACCGAGTCGGTTCCGACTCATAGCAACCCTGCCTAGGGATTCCGAGGAGCGGCTGGTTAATTTCAGCCACCATCCTTGCAATTCATGCCGACGTTGTGGTCCAGTGCTTATCCTGTAGCGCCACTCCAGGACTCCAGAACAACAGAATGGCATGTCCCAAACTTGGCCTCCAGACCTTCCAGAGTAGCCTCACCTGGCCTCTGGACTTGCCTTCCTTCTTCTCATGTATTCCTCATTTCTATTCCTTAGCCGATCCTTAGTAAGAACTGAATAATGTTGTGTTTGTAGACTATTAAATTATCCTAAGTTCATTATATTCTGATTTTAGCAAGTCAGTAACATGATACAGCCATGGATTCTTCTATTTACCTTTTCAAAAAGCTTACTGTATGAGAGAGACAGGGAGACTCTGACCCTTGGTTTAGATGCTGTCATAAGACACCTAAGTGATAATTTTTAATGGACTTTTTTGGTAATGAGATGGCTGATTGTTTCTTCCCACCTCCGCCATTTTCTAGCTGAACTCTTTTGAACAACTTTGTATCAACTACACCAATGAGAAACTGCAGCAGCTGTTCAACCACACCATGTTTATCCTGGAGCAAGAGGAATACCAGCGGGAAGGCATTGAGTGGAACTTCATCGATTTTGGATTAGATCTGCAGCCGTGTATTGACTTGATAGAGCGACCCGTAAGACCCTTCACTTGATATTTGGCTTCCAGTTCATGTTCAAGCACTGCCTTAAATTGGGTTCTTGGCATAATCCGATATAGAAATGACCTTGTCTAGTCAGTGTTAAGATAATGTTTTAATCTAAACATTCTAGGAGGCTGATGCTCTGGATAAAATACCTATTTGAAAACTAGGCGTAGGCAACAGTTGTCTTTCATACAGCCTGGCTTGTGGGAGGGCACAGGACACTGTACTCATGGCTGGGTTGGTGTCAGTTGTGTGTACCATCACCCCCAGCACCTGGCGTAGGGCTTGAGCTTCAGCTCCATCTAGCCTGCTTCCACAGTAAAGCATGTTACTTCCTCTCACCTCCCATTGTCAGGCTAATCCTCCTGGTGTGCTGGCCCTTTTGGATGAAGAGTGCTGGTTCCCCAAAGCCACTGATAAAACATTTGTTGAAAAGCTGGTTCAAGAGCAAGGTTCCCACTCCAAGTTTCAGAAGCCTCGGCAGCTGAAAGACAAAGCCGACTTTTGCATTATACATTATGCAGGGAAGGTAAGAGTCCTTGTGTGAAAGAACTGGAGTAAAATGGTTACGTTTGAACTGTTACTGTGTTTTAAAAATGTCTAACCAAAGGTTTAGAACTGTTTACGTATGGCCTTGGAGATGCCATTTTCTGGGTTGGTAGGTGAAAGTTTCTGGTTAAAGCTAAGAATATTATTTTATTATTTGTTTTCCCCCAATACACCACTTGTGGTGTGGGTCTCGTGTAGGTGGACTACAAGGCAGACGAGTGGTTGATGAAGAACATGGACCCTCTGAATGACAACGTGGCCACCCTTTTGCACCAGTCCTCAGACAGATTCGTGGCAGAACTGTGGAAGGATGGTAAGAAAGTGTTTGTCATTAAACTTGGCTGGACTCCTTATACAATTAAAGTTTATGTCTGGTTCTTTTTTTATGTGTGTGCACATATATATGTTTTTACTTTAAAACTCTCTTTCCCTAGAGCAGGGCTGCCATTATTGGAGTTTATCCATTTTAATAATACTTAGGTTAAGAAATAGATAACAAAACATTTGCATTTTAGGTCATGTGCTTGCGGGGAAAGGGAAACATCCTAGGCCCAGGGCTTTAGAGAACTACCCATCTTCTTCAGACCACCCCAAGGGCCCAGAGAAACCAAACCCAAGAGGCCCTGTACACATACATGCATTTCCTCACTAAGCTGTATCCTCAACCAGTGCCTGGCCATCTGCATTCATACACACACACACAGTGGCTGGCAAATAAGCTCTCAGATTCCCTGCTTACAGAGCAGTCGATTATGTTTCCATCACTCCTTATAGTTCTTTTGTTTACCTGAAACTCGGGTGGAAATTTGATGATTTTGTCTTAGAAGGTTTTACCAGCAGAAAATGAAATGTCTGTGCGTTGTGGACAGTGGGAGCTGGTATCTGCTATTAGAACTTAGCTCTGTAGTTCATCCTAGTTCTCTGTCATCTCTTTGTTGGGCATAGGCCAGGCAGGACCTCAGCCCTGGGTCTGCACCAGTTTAGACTGTGACTGATGCCAGGCATCTTTGGGCAACCTGGCCCCTTTTGCTCTTTCTAGAGCATCTCCAGTTCTTGTAATCTAGTCGTCTTCTCAGACAGAGAGAAGAAAGAGGCAGGAAAGCAGGGGGTTAGGGTTGTTGGAGCAAAGAGAAAGAGGAACAGAAGAGAGAACACAGTGAAAGTGAGTAGGGAGGGGCGAAGGTCACCATATAAGAGAATTCAAGAAGGATCATTTCATCAGGTGAAGTGCGTATTAGGGTGCTTGGGTGTTGGTCCAAATGCATATGTGCCTGAGGTAGAAGGATCTCCTCAAAAAGATTCGCTTCCCAGCCAGTAAAATAAGAGCTTCTCCCTCGTCTTTGTGCTTGTCTGTGAAAGTCTTCACAAGGTATTGAGTGAAAGCACACTGCGCTGCTTTCAGTAATCGGGTCAGCTGGTGAGTGGGGCTGGAGGACTGGGGAGCAGGAAGCTAATGCAGAATTTGCAATGTCTTAGGAGAGGAGCCACTCTTAGCCCAGGAACTAGAAAATGTTAGAAAGGAATAGGAGAAATGGGGGCTGGAACTGAATCAAAGACTGAACTTTGGTTGTCACAGAGTCCATGATGCCCGAAAGGATCAGCACTGGTGAGTTGGAAACATGGATGGGAGATGCGACAGAAAGGAGGAAGGAATAATGCAGCCAGTAACGAATAGCTGCCTTCATTGGGGAAGCCTTGCTATTAAGGCTGTGTGGCGCTGTGGGTTCATGCGCTGGCCTGCAAGGTCCTTTTGTGAACCTCATTGTCAATGGTTCAAGCACACCAGCCGCTCCTCAGAAACCCTATACAGGGTACTATGAGTCAGAACAGACTCTATGCAGTCTCGGCTCCCTCTTTCTGCAACTTTTTTTAAGATCTTGTTAAGTGCCATCGAGTCAATTCTGACCCATAACAACCCTGTATAGGGTTTCCAAGGTGCAGCTGGTGAGCTTGAACCACCGACCTTGCCGTTCAAACGATTTTGTGGTCTGGCGCAGGAGCCCACAGCGAGACACACCAGGACTCCTTTAAACATTTTGTTGTTAAGTGCTGTCGAATCGATTCTGACCCATAGCAACCCTGTATAGGTAGGGTTTCTGAGGAGCAGCTGGTGAGCTTGAACCACTGACCTTGCAGTTCAAAAATGGCTTTGCAGTCTGACGCATTAACCCACAGCGCCACACCAGTACTCCTTAAAGATTTTAGAGTACAGGAAAAGAAGTGAGAGGCGTATGCAAATTGTCAAGTGCCAAAGGTGTTTGTGGCAAATGCAATGCAGGTGGTACAAAGTAAGTGTTCAGGAATGCCTGACGGGGGCTGCCCTCTTCCTGCAAGCTGAGAGGTAGAATGCCATGAAAGAGGAGCTTTTTTTTTTTTTTTTTCCCCTTGTCCTGTGAAAGGACTTACTAAATAAATAATGGAATCGAACTTTTTCCATGCACTTAGGAAGTGCCAGTGTTTTAAGCACTAATTCACATCAGGATCACACCTTAAACATTTAGGGTTGTAGGTTTACATGAACTAACTCAGTTAGGGAGGGATGGTGTTTTCATCCTGGTGTGGCGCTGTGGGTTAATGCGCCAGGCTGCAAAGGTGTTTGAACTACAAAGTCGGCAGTTCAACCTCACCAGCTGCTCCCTGGAAACCCTATACAGGGTCACTATGGGTTGGAACCGACTTAACAACAACATAGTGTTTTTATCAGTGAAATTGGGAGGAAAGGTTAAGTATACAGAGAACAGAATGGCTCCATTGTGAAGGAGGAAACCACAGCAGGGATTCAGCCTACAGTTTAGAGTAGGCCTGGAGCTAAAAGGGAGGGTAAGCCCAGACTAGAGAACCCTGTTGCCTGTCTCATTGAATAAATAACATACACCATAAAGCTGTGTGGCCAGGATAATATCACAGTTGAACTTGAGAAAGGACAGCTGGCAGAGCTACTAGGATGAATTAAAGAGAAAGAATCTAGAAGTGGGGAGTTCACTTCTGAGGCTAATAGACAAACAAGCCTAGTGGAAATGGAAAGAATGCCTAAGAAAAAGGAATGGAAGAATTCATTTTTTCTGTTAATGTCTCAAAAACTGGTTTTCTGTCTATCATTCTGAATAAGATTTCGTTCTTTTGGGAATCACCAGGTGTCATAGAGTCAACTCTGAATCATGGCCACCTTGTGTGTGTCAGAGAACTATGCGCCACAGGATTGTCAGTGGCTGATTTTTAGGGAAGTAGATGCTTGCCCTTTTCTTCCAAGGCACCTCCAAAAGCTTCTAGTCTAGTTGAGAAATTAGAACACACACAAGATATAGGACTGAGTTCGTCTTCATCTCAACTCTCGGCTTCCTGGGCACCCTCCTCCCGTTTTCTTTTCATTCGTGTGTTGATCCAAGATAACAGATATCAGGCAGCAGTAGTTCCGAGTTTTAGAACGTGAGGTTGGCAGGCTAGAGAGGCAGTGGGGACCTTGGAGTGGTCGGTATTGTAGCTGACATGGATGGATAGGAACACATCTAACTGCATTTTTATGCTTTCTATTTAGTAGACAGAGAAATGTTCTGTATTGGATTGCATACATGCTTAGAGGAAACCCTGGCCTTCCAGATCATGCTGTTTGCCCAGCCCAGGGTGCAGGCCTTGACTTCCCATTGGTGGACCACTTTTGTCAAAGTAGGTTAAGAAAATTCTTAATTCACCCCAAGTTTGATCTGACGCTTCTGGCTTCTGCCCTGGGAGAATGCAGCGTGTGCTGCCCCGGTGATGCTGTAGGAAGCCCCGATGTCCAGCCGCTGAGGTGGGTGGCTACTCAGTTTACCCTCCAGAGAGGCTCTCAAAGGTCGTGTGCTGTTGGGAGAGGTCCTCCGTAGAGGCAGGTGGGAGGCAGGACACTAGTGCCCAGTGTTAAAGACCGTGTATCTCATGAAGAAAGTCAGTGGCAGACACAGAAGTTTAAAGAGGATTCCAAGGTAGAGACCCCATCATCGCTCTTCACCTTGGATGTTGTCCAGCTCTCATGGGACAAGAGTTTTCTGCTCTAGGAAAAGGAAATGTCCTGGAAAAACACATAGTGATTTCCTCTTTTTATACCCACTTGAATGCAAAAGAAGAAAATTGATCCAGAGTGTAACACGGTTTGCCTGTGGAGACACCATGCATGAACATAAAACATGTTGTTTTAAAGTAGAGTTGGTGGTAGGGTTTTACAGAATTTGCTCAAGGCCAAACTATAGCGATAAGGTTTATTGGTGGCAGCCCTGCCCTAGAGATTCATAGTGCCCTAGTTTTTGCTAAAAGACACTCTTTTGGGATTCCTCTACCAGTCCATGGGATGTCTTGCCATTTTCTGAGGCTTATGTACAGAAAAGCCTGAAGATACTATTTTATGTAAATGTGCTTCTGAAGATGTCGTCTTGAGTAATGATCTAATCAATAAGGATCATCTTATCACTTAGGTTTCAAGCTGCTTTAATTGGCAAAAATCATAAAAGATTTGACATCACATTGCAGATTTTAACATTTTGCTGCAACAGAATGTAATTTTGGTTTTCTTAACAGTAGTAACTTTTCAGGAATTTGTCTTTGGAGGAAATTATCTTTCCAAAATCTGTATTGGAGGTAAAATTATGCGGCGGTATGAATTTTTGAATTTACTGCATTCTTGTCCCCATTTGCTGATTGCAAGATAATTTTAAGGTTGACAAGTAGTGTACCTGGTTAACTCTTCAATTTCACCCTTCATTTTCCATGGAGATGACCATTGAACATTGATGGAATGCTCACCCCTCTAGGTGGGAATATGCTCTTTTGATTTCATTTAAGTTTATTTGATAAGGAACTTGGCCCCAAAGGTGCAAATGCTCTATGTAAATAGTACTGTTTTGCATGGGACCTGCTCTGGACAAGCTACTTTTGTAGCCCAGTTTCAAAGTTTACTTGTGATGCCAAATGCCTTTCCCACTAACTGAAGTATTTGTGTATCTGCTCTTCTGCCCTCCTGTGTTTGCTGTTTCTCTGCTTTAGAGATTCAGAATATTCAGAGAGCTTCTTTCTATGACAGTGTTTCTGGTCTTCCCGCGCCACCAGGTGAATGTAGGAAGACTATAGGTCTTCCAAACAGAAGGGTTTGAAACCCCACAGGAAAAACTTGCTGGGGGGTGGCCGGGGAGGGCAGGGTAGCTTGAGTTGGGGGCGGGGGTTGCTGCTGGGTTGGGTTTTGGTTTGTGTTTTGCTCATAGGCCTGCATGAACCTTTCATTTCATGCTCAGTTTGATTATTCTTCAAGGCAGCTATTTCAGTGCATAAACAATTCAACTGCTACTGCCTACACATTGCTGCTTCTTTTATGCATAGCACTTCATAGCACCGCATATTAAAAGGTATGTCGTTTACCTTTGCCAGTAGTGCCATTTTGTTACACAGTCCCCTACAGGAATTGTTAAGGTATTGATCTGCTAAACAATAATTCTCTTTGTCTTTGAGTTACCAGTAAATTCAACTGTCAACAATTCCAGAAAGTTGTGTGTGTGTGTGTGTGTGTGTGTGTGTGTGTAAGCCACTGACATTTTGTGAGCATTTATGTTTGTGAATATTTCTGTTAGGTGTGTTGGTCTCACCATTGTGCCTTTTGTTCGGATTTTGTGTGTCCATATCTGGCTACTTGGCTTTTTCTTTTGAACTGGAGACATTGAAACTATCCAAAAGGCTTGGTTTATGCAAGTCAAGATTAATGAGCTAGAGTACTATCAGAGCCTGTACACTGAACTTAATTGAGACTGAACTCAGGAAGTTTGGACCCTGTGACCTGAATCTTTAGCCCTGTTGTAAAACGGCCTAATGATGAGAGGGAGCCCAGAAAGCCCACTATAAATAGGAAGACTACCCAACCTTCCGGTTGGTAAATGAAATTGCAAAGGTAAAGTCTTCTACAGTTTCCACTGTGATATGCAACATGATAATGCTTAGCTCCAGATCCATCTCAGAAGTTCTATTGAACATTTTTAAAGGAATGTGCCTATTTTAATCCAAGTCAAGATTCCTACCAAAAGCTCTAGCTCGCAGACTTTGAAAGAAGTAGCAAGCCTGGAGAGGAAAGGGCAGATAAATGATTCCAAAGTCCATTGGAACTGTAATGAAAATTCCACAGCTCTCCAGAGGAAGAAATCTTAACTCAGTCATCTCTAGCTTCAAGGAGTACTTCAAGCATAGAGCAAGTGAGGAGAGACAGAGATTGTTAAGAGGTAGTTTTAGGCTTATGGTCTCCCTGGGACTCATGCTCTGTTGAAAGGTTAATGCTTGATCTTTTGGATTTATTCCCAAAATAGATGATCCCATGCCCTCTTTAGATTAATTCTCTTTATATCTTTTGGACTTCCAGTCTCTTAAGAGTTCCAAACTGTGAGCTCTTCGTGAGTACGTACAGGGCTTATCTTTGCTCCTGGCACAAAGTAGGTCCACCGACAGTAAGTCATTGAGTGAGGGAATGGGTGGCTGGGTACTCCACACCCAGTTTCTAGATGTAGTAGCTTCATCTTGGCAGTCCCACTTGTGACTTGTACCTCTTCTAAGATCCAGATCCACTTTCCTGTGTGGGACCATGATCTCGGGAGATGAATAGAGCAAGTATTTTTCTGCACTAGCAGACTCAAGCACAGAACCACTCTTAGGAGGACACCAGTATGTGCAGAGAGCATGCTCATTTCCTCCACCATATTCATCTCGATGCTGAGCGTGAAAACCTCAGGTTCTGTCTCACTGAAGTGTGTCCTTTGGTTGGCTTCCAAGTACCAGGGGGTCTCAATCTTCTTAGACGTTCATCCACCTACCATGGCCAGGTCTTTGAAATTTGTATATTTCACAGCAATATGTTTTTCTCCTCAAAATATGCTTATGGGTTCAAAGGAGATCCTGGAGACATGTAAGGAGTTTAAAAAAGAAAATTTGAAGGCATTGACATTTCCTGTGATTTCTAAGATGGCAGTGGATGAAGGCGGTTTCAGCGCTCCAAATTGGGTTTACCTTTGATATGCTAACATGTATTTAGCATCTCTCTAAAGGAACTGGCATAACACTAATAAGCTGCACCCTGCCCCTAGTTCGTTGGTGTTATTGTTGTTGTTCAGTGCCAACCAGTCGGTTTTAACTCATAGTGACCCTGTATTGGCTTTCTGAGAGTGGGTGGGCTTGAACTGCCGACCTTGTAGTCTAGTGCTTACCCTACAATGCCACACCAGGGCTCAGTTCATTAATGTTGTTAGTAAAATAGCATCATGAAGCACATGCAGTTTTTTGAGGATAAAAACGACAGATTAGGATAAAGGTTTCCCAGAAGCTTCTAAAAAAAAAACTGGGTGGAAGAGTAGAGAGCAGGATTCCTGGCAGCAGCGGACAGGGCTCCTTCAGTTTCCTTCAGTTTGCCATTTCCTTCAGTAGCCCAGAAGGGACAGTATATGTTTCTGAGACTCACCAGGATGCAGATACAGGGAGAATGAGCCAGCAGGAGGAATTGTCTTGTGACTCAATGTTACACTCAGGGTCTGTGACATTAGGGACAATCAATCAGTGGTTTGGGACCTGAGACTGCCTTAATTAACCTGTGCAGTTGATACCTGCATTTCCTTCATAGAGTAGTACCATTTATGGTCATTGAAACTCTGTGAGCACTGAATTGCAGCGCTCAGATAGATATGAAAGGGGACACCCGACAAAATGTAGGAAGTACCATGGAGCAAGTTTTAAATGTTGACATAAACCTACAAATCGGGGATCTTGTTAAAAATGTAGATTAGGATTCTGTATATCTGGGGTGAAAAGGCACCTGTTTGAAGCCCTGCTTGAAACAGTGTGCTCGAAGATTTTGAAGCAGTCTTTTAGGCTGTTGTTCCGGTAAGTCATTAAAGCCTGCTCCACCTAGAATCAAGTACCATGCCGGGTAAAATGTGACATTTAATCTCCTTACCGATTCTATTTGCTAGCTAGCCATCATATGTCTTTTTATAGGGCTGTTTTAGTCTGTAGTTTAGGTCTGACACCGTTTTTTTGTATTTAGACTGGCTTCATCTTCAATGGATAATGTTTTTGTGGTGCGATATATTTTTTTCTTTTTGTTTTTCTTGGTGGTGGTGGTTAAGTGCTGTTAAAAGTCAGTTCCAACTCATAGCAACCCTGTATATTGTCATTGTTAAGTGCCTTCGAGTCACTTCTGACTCATAGCCACCCTGCATAGGGTTTTCGAGAAGCAGCTGGTGAGTTTGAACCACCGACCTTGTAGTTCAAACCTACCTTGTGGTCCAGTGCTTATCCTACAGTGCCACACCAAGACTCTTCGCAACCCTGTATAGGGTGGTAAGATTTACAGCCTCAGAAACCCTGTCCAGGGTCGCTGTGAATCGAATGGCACTTACCAGCAACATAGGGTAGGGGTGTAAAATGGCATGGAGGGCAGTACCTGACCCTCCTCTAACTTCAACAAATGGGTGGGGGGATTACCATCAACATCACCCAAGGCTGGTTCCCTTGAACCTGAAGTCAGGCATGATTCCGCCCTGGAGAATCATGAATCTTTACCAGTTCTGACACCAGCCATTTCTCCCACAGCGCTCTACGTTCTAGCTTTCTGTTGGGTTCAGTGATCCATGGCAAGACCAGACTCACAATTAAGGGGTTTATTAGGGAAATTCACAAGTTACAGTTTGGGATCAGAAATGTCCAGGATACAGTTTATCCAGCCAGGAGCGCCTCTCCTCAGCCAGGTGTCCCCTTGGACAAATGTAGCTCTGCCAATTAAGTACTCACCCGGCCTGTAAGCCTTGGCCCTCAGACACTGAGCTCTCTCCATCCGCGGTCCTCGCCCACCTGCTCTCAGTTCTGCTGCCACTGCGCCTCCTGGATCAAGGAGGCTCAGCGTGCAGGGATCTCGAGATGGACCAGAGCATGGACCTCACCCCTGACCCTTTGTTTTCTTGCTTCTGAGATGGCTCATTTTAAAGCTAGCAGGAACCACAAAACTAACCAGTCTCCTCATAAGACTTGCATATGCGTTATTTCCATGTTCCCACCTTTGTTGCTCTGTCCTTGTAATTATTTTTAGGAACAGAATTTCTTGGAATTTTCCTTAATGCAAGTTCATGTTTAGTCATAATGACATACCGCCAAGCTGGTAGGCAGTGCCCAAATGAGTAGGTGCAGGGGAACGGGCAGGAGGAGCAGCCACGCCAGGCCTGCAGGAGAGCAGCTTTGACTCTGACAGGTGAGAAACTAGATGGGGGAGTCAAAGGGAACCGTTTTCAAGTTCAGCTTCATACTGGTGCTTGGAATCAAGAACATTGCTTTCTTCTTGAATCGTGTCCTTCTATTGATTGGTCTGTGGCCTTCCTAGGGCATTTCCAAACATTTCCAAATACTCTAAAACAATTAATAGATGGTATGTGGTAATACAATGTGGGTTAATGCGCCAGACTGCAAAGTCGTTTGAACTACAAGGTCAGTGGTTCAAGCTCACCAGCCGCTCCTCGGAAACCCTATACAGGGTCGCTATGGGTTGGAACCGACTCGATGGCACTTAACAACAACAACGATTTGGTAATACTATGTATTAGGGATATTACAGAGCTATATAAATGTTCATATTATTTCAGGGAATTCACAGTTGAATATTGGTTTGCAAATCTTTCACTCTTGTTACTTTTTTTTTGTCTAGGTTGTTGTTGTTAAGTGCCCTTGAGTCTAGGTTAGGGTAGACTTATTTTTGTTAGAATACTTACTGAGAGCCAGCGGTCTAACGCACCTGACTCAAGTTTTCACTTCTAGTCTTTGGGACTTCTGGTCTACAGTTGGTGGAGTTGTTGTTAAGTGCCATCAAGTTGGTTCTGACCGTAGCGACCCTGTATAGGGTTCCCGAGGAGTGGCTGGTGATCTTGAACCACCGACCTTGCAGTTCAAACAACTTTCCAGTCCGACACATTAACCCACAGTGCCATCAGCATGGGTTCAAATCCCAATCCTGACAAAGTCAAATTTTGGGGTCCTGGTGTGGTGCTGTAGGATAAACACTGGACTGCTAGCTGCAAGGTTGGTGGTTCAAACCCAGTAGCTGCTCCTTGGAAACCCTATACAGGTTTATGTGTCGGAAGTGACCCAGTAACAGTTAACAACAACAGCTACCCACTGCCTAGCACAGGAAGAGTATGGTTTAGCCATTGCCATCCAGCTGTTACAGTGAACTTAGTACAGTCTGTTTCTCCCTGCCTTTTGATGTCTTGCTGTATTAACTCCAGCAAGTTTCTAAGGAGCTGATTTAAATTCTTCAGAATGAAATTTAGTCGTGGGAGTATTGTGGCCCGTGCATGGATTTGTAAAATGAAAAATCCCATAGGCCTTCTGTTTTCTGAGACTGTTGCCAGGAAGAGGGACCAGTTACAAATTGTGGCATCAGCCAATACCATTCCTCATAAAGACTGCGGGTGGTTTGACAAGCTAGATGGTTACAGATCTGCTTTTGTCTGCTTTCATCCTAAACGGTGACTGTGCCTTTACAGATTCCAAGTGTGCAGAACTCACCTGAGTCCTGAGTGGTCAAATAAGATGGGCAGGTTCAGCTGATTCTTATATAACCCCCACCACCAAGCTGGTTCCAGCTCATAGTGACTGCATCAGAAGGGGTCAGACTGTCCCTCAGGATTTCTATAATATCTCTATGGCACAAACAGCTTCCTCCGTCTCCCACAGAGCGGCTGGTAGATTTGAACTGCCGACCTTCTGGTTAGCAGCCCGATGTTTAACCCACAATACTACCAGGGCTTTTTCATATGTTGTTGTTGTTAAGTGCTGTCAAGTCATTTCCAACCCATAGCGACCCTATAGAGGGTTTCTGAGGAGTGATTGGTGAGCTTGAACCACCAACCTGGCTGTCCAGTACTTACCTTACCAGGTCAGAACTCTTCATATATTATTAGTGTGACTTAAATGATCTAATGAATTTCCCCGATAAAAACAGACTGTAAATCTAAAGCATGAATTTTTAAAAATCTGAATCTTTAGCTTTGGATTACCTTTATTAAAATTTTATACCCGAGTTAATTATGATTTTTGTTTGTTTGTTTGTTTGTTTTCAACTCTCACAAGAATTAAACAATAAAACTCTGCTTAGAGCAAAGCGTGTGCTCTTCTCTGTGGCGCTGGTGGGTTCTTGCCCACATTTTGTGCCAGTCACTATGCTCAGCGTGGCACAAGTTATCTGAACTCTGGTGGTTCAGGAGGACCACAGGGCACTTGGGATGGGCCCTCGTGGCCCTGAGTGTATGGGTGCTAGGGCAGCTCAGTCCAGTGGGGAGACCACAACAGCGCCTCCCCACAAGGGTCTGTCCTGGCGATTAGAAGCCTGATCAAGGGAGTAGCATACCTGGCCTGTGGGCCAGGTGGAAACCGGAGCCTCAGAAGACCCCCACCAGGGAGTGAAGTAAAAGAATGAGGATTTTCAAGTGGTTCCGAATATCCAGAAAACTGGAGACAAGTGGGCAGTGTGCAGAGAAAAGGAGGAGGGAGAAGTGACGGCTTTGGAGCTTTCAGAAAATGCAACTGGTTTGTAACCTCTGAGATTAGGTGGTAAGGGATGGGCACCAGCAAGGTGGTTCACTACGCACTGGACTATTTTTTCAGGCACCCCACAAGTCTGTGCAGTAGGTCACATTAGCTCCATGTCACAGAAGGGAACACTGAGGCTTGGCAACGTAAGGTAACTTGATCCAAGACCTCCTAGCTCCTGAGGGGCAAGTGTTTCTCACTCTTCCTAGTCTGTCCTCACGTCTGTTTTACTGGCTTCCTATTTCTAGTCACTTATCCTCCTCCTCTAGCTGCCTCTTCTTTCCAAGTTCTTGTCTGTCCCATGAGGTGGTCTCATTCAGCTCTATAGCTATCCTTATAAGTCAACAACTCCCAAGTTGACTTTTCTAGTCCAAACCTCTCTTCTTAGTGGCAGCCTATCTAGTTGACATTTAGCCTCCACTTGGATGTCTCACTGTCATCCTGAGCCTGAATCGAATCTTCCCACCCAGACAACCCACTTCACTCACCTTCTCAATGTCTGTAATGGTGACTACCAGACATGCAGTTGCTCAATCCAAAATCCTGGCAGTTGTTTTTAAAAGAAGGGTCGCTCTCCCGTATTCTCCTGTTAGATTAATCAGAAAAGCAAGTTGATTCTTTGAACCAGTGTGTCTTGGTTCTGCCTTCTTTATCTGTCTCCTCTGTAATCTCACTAGTTCAGGCTGCTGCTGTCTCTCGTAGAGATTGGACTGCCGCTCTGGGCACCTGTCTTGCCTCTGTGTGTCCACTTCTCGGGCCCTTTCCCCACCGAGTCTCTGTATAGCAGTTGGTGTGAGAGTCTGTACCTTCCCATTGCCCTAAGAATGTCAGCATGGCTGTGAGGCCCCAGTGCCACCTCCACCCCTAATTCTACCCTCACGGTGCGCAGACTCCTTCCTCCTCACATGAGCTCCTCACTCCTAATGCTTTGTTGGCACCAACCTTCTTTCATGTCCTCCTGTCCCTGGCCCTTCCTACCTGCCGTTCCCACTGCCTGAAATGGTCTTCCCCCCACTGACCCGTTTGTTCTTATCCTTTGGCTGTTAATTGTCACTGTCCATCTCTCCCACAGTAGTCTGCTCTTTCCTTTCCATGTATCCCTCACTACTTGTAATTACATGTGTGTGTAGTGTGTACTTCATTTATTCATTAATGTACACGTCTGGGCATTCTTTATGTTCCCGTCATTATGTTAAGTGCAGAGGGCATGAGGCGGGGTGGGAACAGACGGGATGGACACATAATAAGAATTTGTGTCACCTGTGTGACTTGTGAGTGACAGGGAGAGAGTAGACTATGGGCACTTGGTGACTGGTGCTAGGTAGTCAGGCTGATAACTCAGGTGGCCCAAAATGAGATCATGGCTTGAGTTCAAAATGAGATCAGGTAGCACACCCCTGTGCTTGTAACTTGCCGTATTATGGAAAGGATTGCAGCTGAGTCTGGGTCCCTAGTGTGTGCCGGATTCACATAGAGAACAGAGAAGTCCTCAAGGTGCACGGGGACTAGGGCAGCCAGAGAGGGCAATGGGAAGTAGGACAAGGTTTTGGGTCACTGTGCGAGGGTCAAGTAAAATAAGAGCCAGCGTCTCTTGACTCAGCAGTTAGCAAGTGCTTGCCTGGGTAGTAGTATGAAGGGGAGGAATATGGGGTAGAAGCCAGGAAGCTGTACACTGGGCCATTCGTGGGAAAGGATGTGAAGTGTCAGGTGTGTAACTACTTCAGAAGGAAGTTTGGTTCTGAAAAGACAGAGATGTGGACGGATACAGGGCTTAAGGAAGCCCATTTCTTTGTGGGGCAGGTAGGGATGCAATGTGGTATGTTCTCTGCTGGAGCAAGTAAAGGCACAGGAAGGAAAGGTGGTCTCTGAAGTAGCTAGATGGTTGGTGGACCCCAGGACACAAGCAGAAGCAATAGTGTTAACCTAAACCCTTGAGTCTGTGGAATCCTGGTGTGGTGCTGTGCGCTAATGCACCAGACTGCAAAAATATTTGAACTGCAAGGTTGGCTGTTCAAGTTTACCAGTTGCTCCTCAGAAACCCTATATAGGGTCACTATGGGTCGGAATCGACTCGACGGCAGTTAACAACAGGAACAACAAACCCTTGAGTCTGGTGACTTAGCTCGGGAGCGTTTGTAACAGTGTGCATGCAGGGACTGTGAAATTAAACAGACTCCATCCACAGTGCTCCCCACCTTCCACTTGAGGCCCACACCGCACGGGGAGTTAACTCGTCTCCCTGGATCATGGTTTTGTCCTCTGGAAAATCACACTGGCTAACGAGAGCTGAATGAGACAATTTGTTCATAATTCGCTTCCCAGTGTCAGGTCCCTATGGCTTTCGTTTGTAGAGAACAAAGTAGAACAGTGGCTGTTAGGTGAAGAAGGCATTAATGATAAGGGCAGGTCAGCTGGTATTCTGATGGTGTAAAAACAAAAAAAATGTCAGTAATTTGCTTCATTCGTTGAACAAGCTTTTAATGAGAGCATGCTATTATATGTTCAGTTTTTGCTGTTGGCTGGCGCCCTGTACAGGGCCTGTGTTTGTAATGTCATCGCTAGGTAGACTAGGTATATGTGGATAATGTAAAACATCAGCTGTTTTTATATGAGGGTTAGGTCTCTGGAGTTTCATCATTTTGCATCTGGGACACCTAGGTGTTTATTCATTTCAGAAGCCTGGTTTTGTTTTCCTGCCTTTTAATCAGTGACATGATCTGATCTTCCTGCATTTGTCCCTGAAACTCGAAGAACTTATCAAACTGCAGCTCTAGTGACTAATAGAAGATAACTCTGGTCCCTAATCCCTGAGCATATGCGTGAAGGGGATTCACATTGTACAACTGAATTTACAGCTAAGAGCCATTTCATAGTTTTGAGACGCATAATAGTATCAACTTGTGTATCAACAATGCCAGCCAATGCAATGGCCTTTCATTTTAGCAAACAGCTGTATATATAACAGGTAGAGTGTTAGCCAAGACAGTCAAATCCAGAAATAGCGCAGTGGAAGTCACCTGCTGGAATGTGGTAGTTTGAAGTTCTCAAAGCACTACAGTATCCTGCCCTGTGTGTGGCTGTTAGTTCCACGGCTTGTGCAGTGTTGATCTGCGACTGCCTTACCTTTATGGGCCCTCTTATCATTTGTCCCACAAAGCTTGTGCTGCCGCACTATTGCTGTGTCTGGGCTTTCTCTGCCCCAGAGCCGGATCTGCCTAATTTCCCTTGGCTTTCTCTTTTCTAACCAGTGGACCGTATTGTGGGTCTGGACCAAGTCACTGGTATGACTGAGACGGCTTTTGGCTCTGCATATAAAACCAAGAAGGGCATGTTCCGGACTGTTGGGCAGCTCTACAAAGAATCTCTCACCAAGCTGATGGCAACTCTCCGGAACACCAACCCTAACTTTGTTCGCTGCATCATTCCAAATCATGAGAAGCGGGTATGTGTTCAACACAGCGTGTGCTAGCATTTGAACCTGCTCTGTCAGCTTGCAAAGACTAAAACCAGAAGTGATTGTTTGCTTTCTTAGGCTGGAAAACTGGATCCACATCTAGTGCTAGATCAGCTTCGCTGCAACGGGGTCCTGGAAGGAATCAGAATCTGTCGCCAAGGGTTTCCCAACCGAATTGTTTTCCAGGAATTCAGACAGAGGTATTTCTAATGCGTAGAGTTTTTTTGTGTGTGTGTCAAATAATATGTATGAATCTGATTTAGTGAGATAATGACAGAAAATATTTCCTTGTTTCCTGGATGGGTTCGGTTTTCTTTCATATGTTGTTGTTGGGGCACTGTTAGGTTAGTTCCAACTTTGAGCAACCCCCAATGCACAAAAGAAGAACACTGTGTGGTCCTGCACCAGCCTCGCGGTTGTTGCTATGTTTGAGCCCACTGTGTCATTGTGTCAGTCTATCCCATTGAGGGTCTTCTGTTTTGCTGACCCCTCCACTTTACTACCAGGCACGATGGTCTTCTCCAGAGACCTGGTAACATGTCCAGAGTCTCACCATCCTTGCTTCCTAGAACCTCCATTCTGGCTGTACTTCATTCTAACGAGACTGATTTTTTTATCCTTTTGGCATTTCATATTTTCCACCAACACCATAATTCAAAGACCAGGTGTAATCATTCTTGCCTTTTATCTTGGAGAATATTGAGTGCCTACCTAAGAAAAAAAGATTGAAGTTGTCAAGGATTTCATTGTACTTTCATCCTCAATCAGAGCTCATGGAAGCATCGGTCAAGAAATCAAAGGACACATTACATTGGGCAATTCTGCTGTAAAAGACCTCTTTAAAGTATTAACGAGCAAAATTGTCACTTTGAGGGCTAAGGTGGGCTGGACCCAAGCCATGGTATTTTCAGTTGCCTCAAATGCTTGGGACAGTGGGACAGTGGATAAGGAAGACCTGAAAAGAATTATTGCATTTGAATTACGGCATTGGCAAAGAATATTGAAATTACCATGTACTGTCAGAACAACAAACACATCTGTCTTGGAAGAAATACAGGTAGAGCCAGAATGGCTCCTTAGATGTGAGGATGGTAAAACCTCATCTCACATATTTTGGACATGTTATCAGGAGGGGCACAGTGCTTCATAAAATATAGGGTAAACTTAAAAAGCTGAAAGCGTACCGCTTACTCATTTAGACCGTTCTATTTTTTGTTTCGTTTTGCATAATTATTTTTAAAACCTATTTTTAATATATGAGTGTGTATTCCTTTTTGGAAAAATTGAAAATACAGACAGGTTTAAAGCAAATAAAGGTCTGGATTTCAGACTCGTGAGAACATTTTGAGATATTTCTCCCAGCTTTTTAAAGTGGATATTCCTGTCCGTATGCATGACTGTATGCACATATTTTTCCTGTTTGTGTGTGCGCACATATATACACTTAAAGTTCTTCAACAAAAAACAGATGGGTAGTAAGGTAGACTAGAAAGGAAGGGTTAGGAAAACCACGAAAAGGAAACATTCAGTGTGCAATAATGATGGATGACAGTATACATACTGGGACATAGTCCTTCCAAGTTATTAGGTAATTTCCCATAATAGTTCATTTGGTTTGGTGTTTTTCTTATTTCTCCTGGAAAACAGATTTCCAAACCTGACAGCACTTACTCTTCCATCCATGGAATAAATATGGCTGCACGTGGGTCACTCTGAGTCAGAATTGACTAGAAGGCATCTAACAACATAGGTCATGGAGGTGGTCCCTTTTTCCCACTGTTCCAGATGGAAGCTAGTTGAGAAGGTCTTCCCAACTTTTTGGGTCTTCAGGAAACCCCTTTAGTATCGCCTCACTGTATGACAAATTTATGTGGTAGAGTTTCACTTTTTGTTGGGAGAAATTAAAAAAAAACAACAAGCGGTAACAATGCATTTGATTCTTTTCTGCCACAGCCTCTGCAATATAGCCCTTTACCAGCAAAGTCACCTCATCTTCACTTTGCTAGATCTGCAGAAAACTTCAGATCCTGGTCATTACTTTTCATTTAAATTTTATGTGTAGTTGTATTATTACCTCTTTGTTGTTAAGTGCCATCAAGTCAATTCCAACCCATAGTGACCCTGTGTAGGATGAGCTTGAACCGCCAACCTTGCAGTCCAAACAACTTTGCAGTCTGACGCATTAGCCCACAGCGCCACACCAGGACGCAAAAACTCAGAATTAGTAGATAAACATATTAACACATTTCTACAAAAGATTGACTGGTGGCTTTCCTTGCAGATATGAAATCCTAACTCCCAATGCCATCCCTAAAGGATTCATGGATGGCAAACAAGCTTGTGAACGAATGGTAAGCGTTGCTTGATTTTTCTCTGATTTCTGGGTTCTTTGCAATATGATCTTTGCAATAACTCTAAATGAATGGTCTCTTTCTCCCTTAGATCCGAGCTTTAGAGCTGGACCCTAACTTGTACAGAATTGGACAGAGCAAGATCTTCTTCAGAGCTGGAGTTTTGGCACACTTAGAAGAAGAAAGGGATTTAAAAATTACTGATATCATCATCTTCTTCCAGGCTGTATGCAGAGGCTACCTCGCCAGAAAGTAAGTGGGTGATCACAAATGACTTACTTGCCCAGTGTGTGTGCTTGTTCTTTGCATTGTTTGGTGCTAAGGATGCAAAAGCGCCTGGCCTGAGAGATCCTTGTAGAAATTACATTTCTAGCAGAAGAGATAGCCAAGCAAACAGGTGAACATCCTAAATAATGCCACATTGCAGTCAGGAAACAGTCAAAAGGTCGAAGCAGAAAACAAATGTTGAGAGTCGTGCTTCTGATTGAGCCCGCCTGGCAGGCTTCTCTGAGACTGAGACATCAAGGTAAGCAGGTGCTGGCCCTGGGGAGAGGAAGAGAGCCTGCAGCAGTCATCCTGCAGAGAACGGTGTCAGATGAGAGCGAGCTGCCCAGCGTGGTCTTGGTGAGTGGGATGAGGCTGGCGAACGAGGCACAAGGCAGGGGTTAGAAGTGCAGTGCTGTGACACTGGAGGCATCACCTTTAAGGCCACCTGGCTGTACTGTGCAGAATGAATTGAGTGGGACTGGGTGGGCCAGTGAGAAACTCTTATCATGAGTTGGGTGGACGATGCTGGTATCTTGGCTCAAGAAGGTGGTAGTGGAGATTGAGGGAAAACTTGAGTTTGAGAACTAATCCTGGTGTGGTGCTGTGGAGTCCTGATGTGGTACTGGAGGTTAAGCACTGGACCACAAGGCTGGTTTGAATTGCAAGTTCAAACTGGCCAGCTGCTCCTCAGAAATCCTATAAGGGATCGCTATGACTCAGAACCAATTCAATGGCACTTAACAACAATGAAAGATAGTTTGGATCTAGGAGGGAATACCAGAGTTTTCTTTACTTCTTTCTTGTGAGGCGCTATAGGATAAGCACTTGACTGCAAGGTCAGTTTAAATCACAAGGTCGGTAATTCAAACTTACTAGCCATTTCTCGAAAACCCTGTACAAGGTCACTATGAGTTGGAACCAACTCAATGGCACTTAACAGCAACAACAACACAGAAGACAGGCTTGGGTGTGAGAGCAGCTGAGAGAGGTGACAGTTTTGACCGGCAGTCTGAGAGGACAGGCCCTGAGTGTGGGTGGTCATGGACAGGCAGCTAGCTTGCCTAGACCCCGATCCATAGATGCTGACCTACAGCCTGACAACTGCAGATTCCATTTTCACAGTCTCATGTCAGAAACTTCAAACTAGCACAGCTGTGGAATCTGCTGTGTAAGCCACTGTGACTTTGTCCCTTAAAGCACCTACCCCTAAGTAGTCTAGTCACTCTGTGTATGGTGCAAAATTAGGATAAATAAATAGCCGAAGAAACCTGTTCAAAGAATCAGATTATAATATGGGAAAAGGCAGAATAGTGCTTAGAATACCTATGAGAGCTTCAGAAAATTTGTGAGAAAATTCCATTATCTTTTCATTCCTTTTTTCCCCACAGATGTTTTTCCCTCATGTACCCATTCCTCACTTAGCAGTCTAGTTAAGTTTCCAGGTCACTATGCAAAATTCCGGAGGATGCCTACATCAGATCACAGAATTGAAAATGACTACATTGTTTCATAACTGCCGAGTTGTGTCATTACATTACTACCAGATCACATCATTACATATCTGCCAAACAACCAACAGTCATGGCCCAGCCAAGCTGACTCAACCAACCAACAGTCATGGCCTGGCCAAGCTGACTCAACCAACCAACAGTCATGGCCTGGCCAAGCTGACTCAAACTTAACCATCACAGACAGCGTGACTCTCACCCCCAACCTTGATACCAGAACAAATGGCTGGGCAATGAACTTCGTTGGGGGTTTTGGGTTTTTTGTTTTGTTTTTTCATTGTTTTTAACCAGAAAAGAGGTTTCGGGTTGGGGGTTCCTGAAGGAGAATGAGCAATTGAGTCAACTTTGAGCAAAAGCTAATAATAGGAAGAGGGTCTTGGACCATTCTAAGGGACTAAGACAGCAGCAGGGTATGGCGGGAAAACCCAGACTAGGGTTCACAGTTCTTCTCTGTGCCCTGGAAGTCTCTCAACTCCTCAGAGTCTGCGAGAAGCTGTCAGCTATAAAATGAGAGACTTTAGCATGGTGACTTACAAGTTCCTTGCTCTGCTGGAGCGAGGAGGAAGAGGTGGAAAGAGAAAAAAGAGAGTAGCTAACAGTGTCCATTGTCTCCTCACCTCAAGAGAGGAGGGAGTTCTTCTCACCCATGGGTGTATGTGGGATAATGGCAGCAGTGCATACGTCGGCCGCGTCTGAAAAACATTCAGGGGAGGTGGTGAGAAGAGTGCAGATTGGCCAGCAGGCTGTGGGTGTGACTTGCAGTGGTCAATGCCGTGCACATTTCACTGAGGTTGTCATACCCATTCTGTCCTCACCTATCAGAGTGTTCACCTCTAAAACTCTTGTGACGACAACAGCTAGTACACACATTTTCCTTTTCATTGTAAATTTTCCTTATTGTTCTTCAGGGCCTTTGCAAAGAAACAGCAACAACTGAGTGCCTTGAAGGTCTTGCAGCGGAACTGTGCCGCGTACCTGAAACTGCGACACTGGCAGTGGTGGCGAGTCTTCACAAAGGTTGGCTGCGTTGGTTTACTGTCAGATGCCTTTCTCCACCGCAGTGTTGGATCAGGAAAGAGATGTGATGGTGAACTGTTGAATTTTGCCCTAGGTGAAGCCTCTCCTACAAGTGACTCGCCAAGAGGAGGAGCTTCAGGCCAAAGATGAAGAGCTGTTGAAGGTGAAGGAGAAGCAGACGAAGGTAGAAGGCGAGCTAGAGGAGATGGAGAGGAAGCATCAGCAGGTGTGTGCCTTACTCCAGAAACCACACATTGCCCTGGGTTACCCTGAGGGTCTGTTGATAGGCGTGCTGCCCATACATTGACTTAGAAAGATATTTCTGTACCTGTCATCATCTTATGGAATACTGGTGTGGCATTATGTGATAAGCACTGGACTACTAACCATGAGACCAGCAGTTCATACCCACTAGCCGCTCCTTAGAAACCCTATACAGGGTGTAACTATAAGTTGGAACTGACCCAACAGTACTTAACAACAACAACCACATTATCTTATTTAACGTTTTCACTCATTTCTAGAGCGTGTTCATTTTGAGACTAGACTAGAATAGCAGTGATGGCACATTATGCAGTGAAATTTGGATTCATGTAAACTAAAGCCAGCCTTCTTCCAATTTTAGCCCAGGCACCCCTCTTACCGTGTTTACTACTAAGCTTGTACCAGGTTCTGAATTTCTTACTTACCACACTCTCTTGAGGTGATAAAGACAATGGAAACTCTATTAACTACTCTAACCAACCCTATATATCAACAAATTCTTCTTCACAATCACTTTCCCTTGCTGAACAAACAGCTTTTAAATCACTGAAAAGGTTCCAAGCCTTTTCTGACACTCAAGTAAGGCTAAGAACCAAATGTATGTGCCTGTTTAGTCTTACTTACAAGTCCAATTTAAAGGCACTTAGGAATGGATCTTGTTTGTAACCCAGGAATTGCCTGAGTTGAACGCCATCTCATCTTTCACCTTCGTGTACCTGCTTCTGAGGGACATTAGGAAAGATGAGGAGGAGGAGGTGGTTGAGAGCAGGCCTCTGTCTGCCCTTCTCCAGCCTGCGTTCCTTTCCAGGCACTTACTCTCATAGAGGACAAAGCATTGACTGAGGAAGTGTCTGCCTGAGAATTGTACTGCTCGAGGCTAACACCGTTAACAGTAAAGACCAAAAATGTCGGTTGGTACCAGACAGTCTTTAGTACTCACTTTGTAGTAATATTTTCCCATTCCTGTTTTTCTGTCCCTTTATAACTTACCTGAGAACAGGCAAAATATAGTTCTTCAAATAGCATAGGTGTTATTCGAGATAACTTGAGGTACCAAGAATAACCAAAAATAGTGTCATCTAGTTTATCTCAGAGTAGATAAAAAGCATCTCTTGGGTGTCGTGCAATGACCACTGAAACCATGTACCAGACTCTTTGTTGTAATTGCAGCTGTTAGAAGAGAAGAATATCCTTGCAGAGCAACTACAAGCAGAGACTGAGCTCTTTGCTGAAGCAGAAGAGATGCGAGCAAGACTGGCTGCGAAAAAGCAAGAACTGGAAGAGATTCTACATGACTTGGAGTCTAGGGTTGAGGAGGAAGAAGAAAGAAACCAAATCCTCCAAAATGAAAAGAAAAAAATGCAAGCACATATCCAGGTATCTGTGGTTATTGTTTGTAACGTAGGGTAGTACAGGGCATGGAATCCAGGTCAGACGCAACTGTGGACGAAGCAGTGTCTGAATGCTGGAATGCTGCCGGGCTTGGCGGCATGCTCAGGTTTAGAAAGACACACTTGACATGGAGCCAGCGTGTTCCTCACTTTTTGGCTTGTTTTTATATATTATTATTCTCTCTTTGGCCAAATTTGTACACTTTAATTCAAATAAATTTGTGTATGAGTATTCTACTATATTAAGGAGCTCTGGTAGCATAGTGGTTACGAATCAGGCTGCGGGCCGCAAGGTCAGCAGTTCAAAACTACCAGCCGCTCCATGGGAGAAAGAGGAGGCTTTCTGCTCCTGTAAAAATTTACAGCCTTGGAAACCCTGTACAGGGTCGCTATGAGTCAGAACCGACTCCACGGCACATAACAACATTCTACTATATTACTCTTAATTTTTCTGTCACGAATTATTATTCCAAAGTACAACTTCTCATTACTGTGGTGTGGTTCCATTTACAAATGTACCAACCTTTTTTCATTGTGAAGTCTTTTTTCACAGCATGTTAACAGTTGCTCAGCATTATAAGTAACTTCACTGTCTTTTTTGTAAATCACATCTATGGTTATTTTCTGAAATGATTGGTTTATAAGAAACGCTCCCTTCAGCTGAGGACTCTGGACTCATGGAAAGAGAGGGGACTGGGTGCTGAAGGCCAGGAGGCAGCCTTGCAGAATGTGCTCTTTGGTTGTTTAAATTGCTGTGTATTCCTGGGTGTTTTTGTGTACATCCCCCACCCCTTTTTAAAAAAAAAAATCGAGGCTAGACATCCAATGTTTATTTTTTTAAAAAAATTAGTATGGTATAATTTACAAATTTCCATGCAACATGGAACTCTCCAGAAATATATTGCTTGCCCAAAGTGAAATGCAACAATTATATTCAAGTGGATTCAGTATTTTCCCTTCTATCCTATCTTGCTGCTGAAAATGAATAGGACTTAAAATACTTACTGATGAATATCAAAGACAACAGCCTCTGAATCAGTTGCACCTCTATGTAAAGAAATAAAAACTCCTCACCACTAGACCACTAAAAGCATCCAAATAAATGGGGGAAAAAAGAAAAAGAAACACTCCCTTTCAGAGCTTGCTACATGTTGCCATGCTGGCCTCCAGAAGGACTAACCCAGTTTGCACTTTAAACTGTAGAGAATGTCTGTGCCACACAACTGCATTTTATACTTTCAGAAGGCTCTTTGCCACTTTGAAAATCAAATGTTACATTTTCATTTGGGTTCATTTTATGATTGGTGCGAGGTAGCATTTTGTGGAGGACACAGGGGCCTTGACTGTGTGTTGTCCTTCACAAGGACCTGGAGGAGCAGCTGGACGAGGAAGAGGGCGCACGGCAGAAACTGCAGCTGGAAAAGGTGACGGCAGAAGCGAAGATCAAGAAGATGGAGGAGGAGATTCTGCTTCTAGAGGACCAAAATTCCAAATTTATCAAAGTAAGAGGACTTTGCAGTGGATTTTAGTATTGTGGGAAATGAAAAGTGGTTTCAAGTGAAAAAATGCTGAGGAAGATTCTAGGTTCATTTAATTAAGTTTCTCTTTAAATCTCTACCTGTATAGATTTCTAAGGATATAAAAGCTGTGTGGTTTTTTTAAATCCACCAGATATCCTTATAATCATTCAAACTTTTAACTCATGTGTTTCCTACACGTTTACCCCTCATTCATGCTCCCATGTGTACAAGCATAAATTCATCCCACAGTGACTGTGTGGTTGAGTATCCTGGGCCCCATGCCTCGGGGCAGGGACTAAGGCATGTGCAGCATGCTGCCGTCTCAGAATATACAAGAGAGCTTCAAAAAGTTGGTGGAAAAATGGAATTGAAAGATAATGGACTGTTTCCACGAACTTTTTGAAGTGGAAGGAGCTCTGGTAGCATAGTGGTTACGAATCGGGCTGCGAACCGCAAAGTCAGCAGTTTGAAACTACCAGCTGTTCCGTGGGAGAAAGATGAGGCTTTCTGCTCCCGTAAAGATTTACAGCCTCGGAAACCTTGTACAGGGTCGCTGTGAGTCGGAACCAACTCCACGGCACATAACTGCCACCACCATGTGGGTGGTAGTGGTGGCAGTGCCAGTATTACTAGTTTTCTCTCCGGTCAAAGAGTTGACTTCTGTAGGTAATACCACGCTCAATTTGTTATTTGAACTCCTTTTCTAAGGCAGTCGATGTTTTCTATTCAGGAAAAGAAACTCGTGGAAGATCGTATTGCTGAGTGTTCTTCTCAGCTGGCTGAGGAGGAAGAAAAGGCAAAGAACTTGGCCAAAATCAGGAACAAGCAAGAAGTGATGATCTCAGATTTAGAAGGTTAGTGTTCGGCACTAGAGACATTTAGGATTAGATCCTGTAAGTGTTTAGATGGTACTGTCATCAGAACACGCAGTAATAGAAAGTGTATATGATGCTTACTAATAAGGGCCTTCAGTTTGAGTTCAGTTATTTAAAATAGGTCTATTATAAGCTTGTTTTTTGTCGTTGGGTGTTTTTTTGTTTTAATTACCTACTTGTCAAGATGGGATGGAATGGCATCAAAATATCTTTTAAACTTTTAATTTTTAAATTCGGTACTGTGATTAACAGGACTCCTGGTGTGGCGCTGTAGGATCAGCACTGGACTGTGAACCACAAGGTTCGCAGTTCAAACCCACCAGCTACTCCTCGGAAACCCTATGCAAGGTCGCTGTGAGTCGGAACTGACTTGATGGCACTTAACAACATGGTTAAAAAGTAAAGCCTAGGCTGTTGGACTTTGTGTGTGTTTAATGTAAACACTGTGTGAAAGTGCTGAGTTAGCTCACAAAGGGACTAACTTCTGAATTCGGAACTGGTAGAGACAACTGCTGAGGGCAACGGTGTCTCACACCACTGGCAGAAGGGATATCAGGAAATCCAAGAGTTTTTATAACTAGTCATTACTTGATGCAGAAGAAAAAAGCAAAGAATGGGAATTGGAAAGAACATTTAAGCCTTTGCTCTGTGGCAGCTAGAGACAGGTGTCGGCAGAGAGGAAGGAAAATCTGGCACCTGATTCCCTGGAATCCGAAAGCTCAGTTCAGGGATTTATGGGACTTGACCACTTTATTTTCAAATAGGGAAAGAAGCCAGGGATTTGTTTATTAGTTTTTAATTGGCAAAAGAAGGGAGTGCAGAATAAAATTATTTTCATCAACCATATTCACCAGTACCTGGGTCTTGAAGGACGCACATACAAAGCAGGTGTGCCTGTCCTTGCCCCCTCCCTGCTGGAGTGCACATAGGCATTCACGTTACATTGATGGGAAGGGAGCATTGAGCAGACTGGATCGCTAGCATTAACTGAGGAGCCTGCAGAGTTTTGGTGAGCGAGCAGATTCTCTCCACTCACACTCTCAGGCCCCTTTGCCTCGTGCTTGGGAACTGCAGTCTGAGTTCAAACAGGTTCTGACTGGAAGTTGCACAGTGTACCCTCACTGTGGGGAGCCACTTTAAATACCTGGATATCATGATGGATTTGGCGCATGGGTGGGTTCCAGATTACTTCAGCACTGGGGTATGGACCACCTGTCATCTGAGGGCATCCTGACTACCAGAATCCTCCATCATTTCATCCTCACAGGAGTCCAATTTCAGTGCATTTCAAATGAGTGCATAATTGTCAGCTGTCATCAGCTTGAGTTTTGAGTTTATTCCTGTGGCATGTCCTCGAGTGCATTAAAGAGCTTTGTATTTCTTGTCCTTACAGAACGCTTAAAGAAGGAAGAGAAGACCCGTCAGGAGCTGGAAAAGGCTAAAAGGAAACTGGACGGTGAAACTACTGACCTGCAGGACCAAATTGCAGAACTCCAGGCCCAGATCGATGAGCTCAAGGTCCAGCTAACCAAGAAGGACGAGGAGCTCCAGGGTGCCCTGGCCAGGTGTGTAGCAACTTTCATATGGCCGAAGAACATACCAAAACCCTGGGAGAGTAGTGCATTGTTTTCTTGCTACTAAATCTGACATGAAAAACCCCACCATGCAGAAAATAAGAAAATCTCATACACAGTTCTCAAAATTTATCCTTGAAATTTCACACCAGAACAAAATGATCTACCATCTCAGATGTTTTGGTGTCTATACATTGCAGATGAATTTTAATACATTCAAGGCATTTGTCATTTACCATAGAGTCAAGTCAGACTCATGGCAACCCATATGTGTCACAGAATTGCACTCCTCAGTGTTTCCAGTGGGTGATTTTTCAAGAAATAGACCAGCAGGGCTTCCTTCCCAGGTGCCTCTGGAGGGGTGTAAGCAGCCATTCTCTCTGTCAGTAGCTGAACATATTATCTGTTCATGCCACGCAGGGGCCCCTCAGAACTTCAGAGGTAACACTTCATCAGAAATTTTATCCCCTCCATTTATAGCTGCATTTGATATTCAGTTGTACGACATTTATTTTTAGAATACAATTCATGTACAGTAAATATGTTTATGTGAAATATCTCATTTCTTTAGAAAAACCTTTAATTTGGCTACATGGTCATATAGTACTGTTTAGCTTCTGCTTTGCTACAGTCATGAAAATCTTAACCACAGAAATTTTTTTCCTACCCCGATTGCTAATCCTCTCTGGCCAGATTATCTGCTCTTTTTACTCACAGGGCCTAGCATTATCTTCTTTACTATTTGTTATTGTGTCTGTCAAACTACAACTCCCCTACCTCAGCATCCTTAGTCAGAAAGAGCTACCAGCATCCTAAACCACACACAGGAGCAAAAACATCATAGAAAAGGAGGTACAAAGTGTTCCAAGAGCTCCTCTAAATGTGCTGTCTCACTCTAGGCTAGGCACCAGTTTGATAGCAGACTGCTACCTTGAGCAGTGTTGTAATTGTACTAGCAGTTTATTTCAGAGGAAATTTTATATAATCTAATCAGTAGCATGAGACTGTGCCGCCATCTATAGGAGAATTATTGTCATATAGACTGAGAGGAAATAGCTTTGGCTTCTGGTTCTGGCTCTGTCAATACTGGCTTTGCAGCCTGAACAAGACTTTTACCCAGGTACCTAACTCCATGCCCACCCAACAGTCCTGAGCCTCCCCTCCAGCCTCACGCCCCGGGCTCTCCTATACCTTGTGGAGAACTGCTCCAGGGTTGTCCGTTTGGCGCCATCTCTGAATGCTGTTATGCCTGGTTGTTTTCACAGAGGTGATGACGAAACACTTCATAAGAATAATGCGCTTAAAGTCGTGCGAGAGCTGCAAGCCCAAATCGCTGAACTTCAAGAAGACTTTGAATCTGAGAAGGCGTCACGAAACAAGGCTGAAAAGCAGAAAAGGGACTTGAGTGAAGAGCTGGAGGCTCTGAAAACAGAGCTGGAGGATACCCTGGACACGACTGCGGCCCAGCAGGAGCTCCGGTGGGTGAGCGCAGACAACAGACACTGCAGGGCGGGCAGGACTGGTCTCCTCCGAGTGAGAGTTTTTGGGAAGGGTGGCATTTTTTTTCTCTGTTGTTTCAGAATTTTCTTTCTCCCCACTGGAAATGATGGACAGGTGTATACTGGTGATGAAATAGGACTGGTTAGATGCAAACCAGCCCACACATAAAAGTACATATATAGGGTTGGTGTAGAAAGCAGCAGACTGAGAAACACAGTTCAGTGAGATCAGAAAAAGCCAGTTAGTGATGGGTATCTAGGGAAAGACAGGAACACACATAGAGGGGTTGGAAACAGATTGATCCATAGATGTCTATGCTACTTAAAAGCACTAGACAGAGCCAGCGGGACAGATGCAACAAGCCGAGAAACAGGAAGAAATACATGGTAGGGTGGTCAGGTATTGCCGGTAGTATAGACAACGGTGGGAAACAAATGAGAATGGACTCGGGTGAAAAGAAATGTAGGCGCAGGTACTCTGACACAGCTGTAGGCATGTACGGTAACAGAAAGCCGCAGCTGCATGCAGGCCCAAAGGCTTAGATGAGCACAGCCAAAGAAGTTCACATGGCAAGAGGTTCACAGGCGAGCCGCTGAGTAGGCGAGCGGGGCTAACTAACTGGGGGCTGCTGCTGACATGGAGGTGTACGTCTCAGATAAGCCACCGGAGAGAAGGGGTGGGAGGTGTTCCTGCGTGCTTCCTTGGCCTTTCCCTGACTACCAGAGACCCACCCTAGAATCTCAGGCATAAGGAGTTCTAGTGCCCTAGTTCCTGGTGTGGCACTGTAGGATCAGCACTGTACTGTGAACCACAAGGTCAGCAGTTCAAACCCACCAGCTGCTCCTCAGAAACCCTATACAGGGTCACTATGAGTTGGAACCCACTCGACGGCACTTAACAACAGCAGCACTTTAGCTGGTAGATCTGGCAGGTACCACATACATACACACACACACACACACACACACACACACACACACACGGGAAAGAGTGGCCCATCACTCTACTAAGGCTATTAAGGCCAGAACCGGAAGAACCATCTGTGAAGACAAGTGTGATCAGAGCGAAGGAAACTTCCCTGGACTAACCAAGGAGGAAGCAGTTGCTCTTCGTTATTCACGGGCTCTGTGAGTCCATCTACTCATCAAATTGTATTCATGGCCCCAAAATCAACACCCAGGGCTTCTGGGATCTATCAGCCAATGCGCATGCAGAGAAGAGCATGCCTGGTCCCAGCTAAGCTCAGACAAGGCTGGCTCAGTACACATGGGGACTTTATAGAACATAACTCTACAAATAATGAGAATTAACTGTACATGGTGGTGTCGGGGCCGGGGATTTTCCCAGACAAGGAGGTGACCTCAGGGTTCCACACAGCAGCCAGAAACAGGCCCTGAGGAGAATGGTGCCGTGGGCGTCTGTAGAGAGGACCTCTGTGCCGAGAGGGTCTCAGGAGTACTGAGGGTCAAGAGTGGAGGCGTGAGCATGTTTGTCGGGGATTTATTTGGACCGTGAGTGTAAGACTCCAGCAGTAGTACAGAGGTTGGGTGGTTTTTGTTTTTAACCTTTGTCCCCAGACAGAGGAGAGGGTCCTAAGGCTTCTTGTCCCCACCAACAGAGTAACTACTTTGATCTGCTTAAGTCTTGCCCTTCTGTTTATATTGTGTGCTTTTTTTAAAATCTGGAAACCATGGCTTCGCCTGTGTTGAAATCTCCATTCTCAGCAGGCTTTTTGGCCATAGTAGGAAGAAAAGGATCTGGTGTTTTCTCTCATTCAACCCTTGCCAAAAAAAGGCTAGTGCAAATGATGTCTCATCTTTAGGGAGTCCATGCGTACATTCACTGGAACACACAGTGATTCTGCTGTAGGAAGGATTTAGGTTGCTTAGCCACCCTACCCACCTCTCCATTAGTGTCACACATTTCATATCTCTTCAGGATTTAGGATGTAAAACTTAAAAGGAAATTAAGTGTTTGCCCAGAGGAGGGAAGGTGAAGAGTTGGTTTGACTGTGGATTTCAAGTAGGGACTATAAACCAAACTCTTCCTCTGAGAGATGGTGACTAATGTGTGTAAATGAGGCTGGACTGCTCACCACACCAGAGAAACTGTGGCTGGCTGAACTAGACCACGTACAATCTTTACTGGTCTCTTCTCCCTGTGCCCTGTTCCAGGGAAGTGCTGCTCTCCACCCTCCACTGCTCCAGGGAGCAGCGTGTGAGCAGCAGTTGTAACTGGTGAGCTGTTTGAAAGTCCGCTTGCCATCCCGTGCTTCAAGATTACTGTAAGGTCTCAGTGGATTGAATTCAATGTCAACACAGCTCCTAGCGAGTAGTGGCATTCACCTTGCTGATTTCAATGTATCAATCTAGATCGGGTGGCTTTTTAATGGGGAGTCAAGTCACATTGTCAGTGAATTAACTGTGAGTTACTTTAATACGTCTGGTAGCGTAGTGGTTACAAGTCAGGCTGCTCATCTCAAGGTCAGCACTTGGAAACTAACAGTCATTCCGTAGGAGAAAGATGAGGCTTTCTGCTTCTGTAAAGATTTACAGCCTCAGAAATCCTACTTAGGGTGCTATGAGTTGGAACTGACTCTGCGGCACATAACCACCCTTTTTATAACAAAAAATAAAATTTTAGAAAGCCATTTTTGATACTCATATGACCATCTTCCTTGCAGTGGCTACATAGCTCCCAGACACCATACTCACAGTTACAGGGTCCTTTAGGAAAGTTAACAGATTACAGTTCAGGGTCAGAAATGCTCAAAGCACAGTTGTTCTAGTTAGGACAGACTTTCCTAGCTGTGCCCACAGGCAGACCTTTCTCTGTCCGGCCAATGTGACAGAGCTACTCATAAATGCCTACAGGACACATCGCTCCACAATACGCCTCAACCTGAAGGCGCTTTGTGGGTCAGTTAACCTGGCCCCCCTAGTTAAGTGCATGGAGGCACCCCACTCTGCTGTGTCTCGTGCTCTGGCTCCTGGCTCTGCTGCTGCTCTGCGGCCACTGCTCTGGTGTCACAGGGTCCAGGAGGTTCAATGAGAGGCATCTCGGGGTCCAAAGGAGGTGCTCCACGCCTGGCTCTTCTTTGATGGTAGTGAGAGTCCCCTCTCCTGCTTCTGAGAGGACTCATTTTAAACCAACTTACGCACACCCACATTTAAATAAAGTTCCAGGTTTTAACAGTAACAATTAAATCTGTTCACTTCTCCCATCTTTTCTTACCCAGACCCATCAGAACAAAAATGTTGTTGGGTGGCAGCTACAAAGATTATGGGTTGAAGGTGGTGGCGGTGGTAGTTGTGTGCCAACTCATAGGCACACAAAGCTATGAATCTTCACGGGAGCAGAAAGCCTCATCTCTCTCCCACAGCGCAACTAGTGGATTCGAACTACTGACCTTGCAGCTAGCAGCCCAGCTCACTACACCACCAGGGCTCCTTAGGGGTAAAAGAGCTTTATGAAATAATTCACATCGTCATACTGTACACGCATGTTAGGTAAAGCCTTAGTTTCTCACCAAATAGTCTAATTCTACAGTCCTTTATACCTGAAATACCCTGATACCAGACTCTAGAGGCCCTTTCTGAATCAGGAATGCAGCCCTTCCACCTGCCTTCTAAGGGCCCTGCCCTGTCCCGCCAACAAATCAACTCCCTCGCCCATAGCAACCATTCCCTTGAACCATTTCCTGGTAGTTTTGGGCTTTGTTTTCTTGGTAGATTTATAGTGTGTTCATTAGCTGCAGCTACTGTACAGTAACAGTGAGGAGGAGTCTTCCTTTTGTTACGGCATGATGTCCTGATTGACGTGACTTTTACCACCCCGTAGCTCTGAAAAGGCCGTGGTGGTGCGGTGATTAAAGCACTCAACTGCTAACAAGCCGGTTGGCAGTTCAAATCCACCAGTCACTGGTGTGGAGAAAGATGTGGTAGTTTGCTTCAGTAAAGAGTTCCAGCATTGGAAACGCTATAGGACAGTTTTGTCTGTCCTCTACAGGGCTTCTGTGAGTCAGAACTGACTGGATGGTAGTGGGACTGGCCTTTCTGACTTTCTGCTTCCAGTTTATTGAAATGTCTGCTGGTGCTGTGGCAGGAAGTTTGTTGTCTGGTGTTAACCAGTTCCTGACCGCCAATGAAACAAGACTGCCCAAATAGTTTAAAAGACCTTTGGGGTGTTTCACTGTCTCAGTCATAAATCAGATGTGGACTGGAAGTTGTACTGGTTCTAGAAGAATCTCCTGTGACCACAGTCATGGATGTACCACCTGTTTGAAATAGCACATCAAGTCTACAGCAAAGGGATGGGTTTAATATTTAAAGCAAAAACGACACTTTGAAAACATACTTAATTTCATTAGTTAGCTAATTCTGAGCTTTTTTCTTAAAAAAATTTTTTTTTTCTCTAGTACAAAACGTGAGCAGGAAGTGGCAGAGTTGAAGAAGGCTCTTGAGGAAGAAACTAAGAACCATGAAGCACAAATCCAGGACATGAGACAAAGACACGGCTCAGCCTTGGAGGAGCTCTCTGAGCAGCTAGAGCAGGCGAAAAGGGTAAAGGAAGTGCCTGCCGGGCTAGTTCAGCACTCAGGGGGGCCAGCTGGGGGCACCAGTTCTCAAAAGGTAGAGAGAAAAGTCATATATACCCTGGATTTTTTAAAGACTAGGTGAGTCCAACTACCATCCCAAATCACATATTCCTCCCCAAGTTCTCCTTTCATTAATATTTTTCCAATCAGTTTGTTCTTCTCACACTGGCTATAGGAATACTTGACATTCCCTTTCAAGTGTGTGTTATACAAAGCACATACATAAACTTAGGTATATTGGCTCTCCATCCTGGTAAACTTAATTTCACGTACTCTTTAGCTAAAACCATCCACCTGGGCAGATTAGTCATCTCATGATTTTTCGTCCTCATAAAACCACCATGTTTTGCTCTTGCTGTTATTTCCGTCTTGAAATAGTCTTTCTCTGCTTGTCCAAATACTGCCTTTTCTCTGGTGACAGTACATTTCTGGGATGTTGGCATCCGTGTGTGCCAGTCACTGTACTAAGTACTTACATGCACTGTGGTCACACTTGGACCGCTGTGTGGTGCCTCATCACATCACAAACTGTCTTCTTGATACTCAAATGTGTTCATCTTACCCCAGCAATAAGAACTAAACCTATACAAAGGACAGTGTGGATGATTACCTTGGGTGCACTCACATGTTCCCTGAACTGAAAATCAGGATAGATGCCCCAAGCCATGTGTCCAACTGCCAAAGCACTGCCCACCGTTTTCTAACCGAGTAGACCCACGGTGTGCACTTGTGTGTTCCTCATAAAAACACCTTCACACTCAGAACAGCAGGTGTTTCCATTCATTCAGCAAAAGCCAAGTGCAGACTCCCCAGATGACAGGCACAGAGCTATAGGTTAAAAAAAACAGCAATTTTTATCAAGGAGTGGCATCAAAACACCAGTGCATTTTGGATTTTTCTTCTCTAGTTCAAAGCCAATCTGGAGAAGAACAAGCAAGGCCTGGAGACGGATAACAAGGAGCTGGCGTGTGAGGTGAAGGTCCTGCAGCAAGTCAAGGCCGAATCTGAGCACAAAAGGAAGAAGCTTGATGCCCAAGTCCAGGAGCTCCATGCCAAGGTCTCGGAAGGAGACCGCCTAAGAGTGGAACTGGCCGAGAAAGCAAATAAGTTACAGGTAAACCTAGAGAATCTTGGCTCTGGGCACATTCCCTCGAAGCATGTCCACAATATACCCCTCTTATGGCCTTAAACAACCCAATGAAAATATGCTACTAAATACCTGGAAACTGCCATCATAGTCACTCCATGGCAAGGGGATGTGTCAGTCCACTTGCATAAAGATGTCTAGTCTTAGAGCAGTTCTACTCTGGCCTAGAGCGTCACCGTGAGTCCAGATCAACTCGGTGGTAGTGGGTTTGGGGGGTCTGGGTTGGTCATAGAGGCACCTTCTGCCCAACATGTATCAAGATATCAGACTCCCAGAGGGAAAGTAGTGTCTGCAAGGTCTGATCTGATACGTGTTCAGCATGATGTGATGGACTCGCTACTATGTCTACATCTGAACAATTGTAAAAGAACTTTTGACTTAAAATACTAAAGTTTAGGCCAAGCCCCTGTGGGCCCAAGCGTTGTTGACCGTCCAAACCATAGGCTCTGAGGATCAGACTCTAGCCACCTAGTAGACATAACAAACTGTCCCTCATCTGATTATTCAGTAATGCTTGTTAGTAATCTCATACGTGAGCCCTGGATATCCACAGACAAATGTAAAAACCTCCCCTAAAAGCCGAGACTGTAAATTCCAATAAGCCAAGTACCCCCCCATCCAAAAAAAAAAGCTAAAGAGGATAGAGAGAAACACTGTAAACTGATGATATATAGTGGGGAAATAATCAATGTAATGAAACAAGCTATATGAATGGTTTAATGTGAAGCTGATGATGTGCCCTGTAAACTTTCACTCAATGCAAAATAAAAACATTTAATTAAAAAAAAAAAAAAAAGAAAGAAAGAAAGAAAAAAAATATATATTATGAGGCAAAAAAAGATAGCATTTGCCAAGTTATAATCGTTGCTAGGTATCTATACTATCTTCGTGGGGTTGCTTTGTGAGACTTTCTAAAATAAATAACCTTAAAAACAAAAAAACAAAAAAAAAATGCTAAAGTTTAACCTTCTTTAAGTCTCTTTAATAACACTCACAGTTCTGTCAGAATAGGAATTATACTTGCCCCCAAAACATTTTTGTTGTGAAAAGGGATCAGAATGAAACACCTGCAGAAAGTGTGACCTCTTCACCTAGGATCGCGGTTATTACTGCAAAAGATTTAGTATAGTTTTTTTGTCTCTTACCAAAATAAAACAAGATGGTAAAGCAAAGTTAAGAGAGCACCCTTCCCTGTGTGGCATCTGTCTTGGGAATTCTCCGATCCTGTTAGTATGTTGAGGCCAGGAGAGTGGTATGGTGTCTTTGAAGGCAACTAGCACTTGGTGTTGGAAAGCTTCCTTAATAAATCGTGGAGTTTTCTAGTTAGTCCATGCTCAACCCTACTCTACTTTGTATTTAAGAAAGATCCTTTCCATTTGCCTACTGTCAAACTGAATGGAATCTTTTCTGTCCTTGCAGAATGAGTTAGATAATGTCTCCACACTTCTGGAAGAAGCAGAGAAGAAGGGTATTAAATTTGCTAAGGACGCAACTAGTCTGGAGTCACAATTACAGGATACACAGGTAATAATACTTCTCTTAACATCTGTATAGTATGTAAATTGGTAAAATAAGCTGCTCCCTGAATTAACTTTGCTATCTATAACTTTTGTTGATTGTATGTCATGCGTTTATGTTAAGCCAGCTCTGGTGGCATGGTTGGTTAGGTGTTGGACTGTTCATAGCAAGGTTGGTGGTTGAAACCCACCAGCTACTCTGAGGGAGAATGATGAGACTATCTGTGTCCACATTTACATTTTAGAAACATGAATCTGGCAGACAAAGACCAATCATTGATCTTGTGCTCTGGTAGAGATTGACACTCTCAGAGACCCTACAGAGCAGTTCTCCTCTGTCCTGGAGGGTCACTGTGAGTCAGAAGCCACACGATGGCACTGGGTTTGTTTTGGGTTTGCATTATAACCAGCTGTGGTACTCAGGACATTGCCCTTAGAGCTCAGTAGCTCCTGTGCAGAACCTTTGGTTCCTTTGTAAGCCTGGCAGGTATATGGGCAGCCTGCTGGTCACTGCCAGATTTACTCAAGCAGTGGTCTTACTGACCCAGGAAACAGTCCATTTGTGAAAGGGTAGGTTGAAGCCTACTCATCATTCTGTTAAAGCTCGTGTTGAATCCTTTGTTGGGGGTGTTTTTAAGGCAAATAAAAGTTAGATTGGTGGTTTGTTGGTGATTTGAAGTAATTTAGCTTATTTTCTTCTTTTCATCTTATTAAATTTGCAAATACGAGTGTCTATCTGCCAGCTCTGGGCTGGGTGCTGGGGATACAGGAGTACAAACCTTACATCTACAGGAAACACTGTAATTTGGCAATTGGGGGACAAGTTCAATGTAACTGGAGTGGACGCTGTGCCAAGGCCACGTCCTTATTGATGATACTGACAGAGGCAAGAGCTAGGTCACTGCCTTTGAATTTTTCGAAGCCTAAAAGGAGAGCTAAAAGAGACATGTTTGTACTTGGCAGAAAGTAAAAAAAAAAAAAAAAAAACAATCATTGGGGCGGTCCTCAGGACTGGAGGCGGTCTAGCAGGAAGCGACGGCAGCAGTGAGAAGATGTTAGAAGGACAGGCATCCCCTGGAGACGCGCACCCCACTTCCATACAGCCCGTAGTTAACAAACCAGCCCTTCAAGTCCATTATATTATCAGTTCAGGGTACATTCAGTGGTTAGTAATAACAAATGGGCACTACTTTTACACACATCAAACTACTGTTACTGCTACTACTGTCTTACGTTGAAGATGTGTTCACGTATCTGTCCATGTATCGTTCCTGTTTGTATGCCTAGAAAGGTACACTGGATGCTAAGACAAATATTTGACGTTAGGTAGGAATCATGCCTAACTGTGTCAGAACAGGTACAAATGCAGAGACTGCCTATAACTGAGAAGGTGGAGGGGAGGGGGGCATCTCAGATGACGCTTGGATTTCTGACCCAGGCCCCTAGATGGATGGTGCTAGGCCAAATGAGTTTGAAACAGTGTTTGTGTTCAGAGCTTTTATAAAATGATTGTGTGTGATTTTAAGCCATTTGTATCAGTGACACTGTGTGCCCCTCCAACCCTACAATGCTCTTTTCTTTTCAAACTTCTCATTGTGACTTGGGTGCAGGTTTACAAAGGTGATCATCAGCTTTCCAGTCAACAATTCACACACATTTCTGTTTCATGTCATTGATTGTGCTCCCCTCAATGGAATATCACTCACTCCACTTCCTCCCTGGGTTTCCTGTTTCCATTCCTCCTTCTTTCCTAACCCTTCTGAACTGCGTCCTTGGGGAAATGCTGCCCTTTGGATCTCAAATGACTGATTATTCTAAGGTGTGCCTACCTCCCTAGTGTTGCTGGTCCCCTTATAGACCTGTGTCTGGTTTGGCTGAAAATTGAGCCTCTGGTGCGAGTTCACTTCCAGACCTGAAGGGTGACTAAGGGCCACCGTCTTAGGGGTTCCACCAGTCTCTCTGTGACCAGTAAGGCTGGCCTCATGACATTGAGTTTTCCAGCAACTGTCTTTTTATGGTATGCATTCTTTAAAAATAGGTGTGCTTTGTTTTAGTGGTTAATATGATTTAAGTATTGACCTTTTGGAAAATAAACAGGAACTTCTTCAAGAAGAGACTCGTCAAAAACTCCACCTGAGCAGTCGGATTCGGCAGTTGGAAGAGGAGAAGAATAGCCTCCAAGAGCAGCAGGAGGAGGAGGAGGAGGCCAGGAGAAACCTGGAGAAACAGGTGTTAGCCCTGCAGTCCCAGGTGTGTGTCCCCTTAGCAGCAGTGGCTTTAAAATATTTTATTTTCACAAAGTATTGAAAGAAAAAGTTGTTTTTCTTTATTCTTTTAAGTGCAAAAACCAGTAAGTTCTTCAGTATTAATCTTTCTCTGATACAAAACCTAGTTGACTGACACCAAGAAGAGGGTGGATGATGACTTGGGAACAATGGAGAGTTTGGAGGAAGCCAAGAAGAAGCTTTTTAAAGACGTGGAGGCCTTGAGCCAACGCCTGGAGGAGAAGGCTCTGGCTTATGACAAGCTGGAGAAGACCAAGAACCGCCTGCAGCAGGAGCTGGATGATCTGACAGTTGACCTGGACCACCAGCGCCAGATTGTCTCCAACTTGGAGAAGAAGCAGAAAAAGTTTGACCAGGTGCGTCATGTCTTGTTCCCTGATCCAGATGTGAGGAAAACACCACACGTTGTTTCCTCCTGGCCCAGCTCTCGTGTTTGTTGTTTTTCATATTGATAACAAAATAGGAAAAAGCAGAGAAGCACAAAGAAGGAAATAGGAGCACACCCACAGTCAAGTAGTAAGACTCTTAGCAGTAAGTCAGACATGTGGTGCATTTGGGGAGTTTGTGTGGTGGTGTTTTCACTGCCTGTCTCTCTGCAGCTCTTAGCAGAAGAGAAGAACATCTCTGCCCGCTATGCAGAGGAGCGGGACCGCGCGGAAGCAGAAGCCAGAGAGAAGGAGACCAAAGCCCTATCCCTAGCCCGGGCCTTGGAGGAAGCCCTGGAGGCCAAGGAGGAGTTTGAGCGGCAGAACAAACAGCTGCGTGCAGACATGGAGGATCTGATGAGCTCCAAAGACGACGTGGGCAAGAATGTGAGTTGGCATGGGGGAGCCTCTGGGGACGGGTCACTGCAGAAAGGGAATAGACAACTGCTGAGGAGGCCTGCAGGGCCCAGAAACACAGATCCCAGCCAAGGATTTCAGGGGCCCTGTACAGAATTAGGTGGTTAAAGTGTCCTAGGGTACGCTTCCAGGCTTTCTCAAGTCTGCTTTAGTTGCCCTTATCAAAGCTAAACTTGGCATGCTTATAACAGCATTTGGGGGGTGGGACTTTATTCTTGGTCCCCTTCACTGGCCATCACTACTTTATTGTGTTTTCTGGTCTTTATCTGTCATATGGACACTATCCTACCTGGTTTCACAAAAGTACTAAAGAGGTGCGAGGCACTCTGAAAAGCATGAAGAGTTCTCTAGAGAGACCAGCTCTTGTTTTTCATGGAGTATGGGCTCTTGGCACAAAAGGGAGTAAAGACTGCCCTACCTTCCTGCTGAGTCTGTTACCCATCAGAGGATGGTGATTATGGACCACGTGTGAAATGAGGATGTGAGTTTTGTCATCGCAGTCCTGTACTTTGAAGTAGGAGTGAAGTACCACACACCCACACACATAGGCTGACCCCTAGTGACCAGAGTGGCCAGCATTGCCACATGTGGCCTACAGAATAGGAAAATGGCTGCTGTCCTTAACTGTGCCTTTGCCGAAGGTCAATTCTTTTCCTGGTGCTTGCTGTGGTTTAGGTTCATGAACTTGAAAAATCCAAACGGGCCCTTGAGCAACAGGTGGAGGAAATGAGGACTCAGCTGGAGGAGCTAGAAGATGAACTTCAGGCTACAGAAGATGCCAAGCTCCGTCTGGAGGTCAACATGCAGGCCATGAAAGCCCAGTTCGAGAGGGACCTGCAGACCAGAGATGAGCAGAATGAAGAAAAGAAACGGCTGCTGATTAAACAGGTAGGTCAGAGGGAGCTGATTAAACAGGTTGCTCCAGGGACCAGGATGACTTTTGGGGCAGATCCTTTCCATTCAAGTTAGATAGAACACATTAGCTGGAGTAAAGTTGGTTTGTTTGATCATTTGAGACTCTCAGTCTCTGAAATGTACTGTAATTGGTTCTGATTTTTTGTTTCTCAGTATCATTGCTATTTGCAAACCAGGATACTTATATTTTGGTGAGACATCCTAACTGAAAATGTAAAGGGAATAATGGCATTAGGCTCCAGTTCTGGAAGTCTTGGGGGTGTGATGGAAGCGAACCAGTGTGCACCTGGACCATGTAGTTCAGCAGGTTTCTGTAGCTCAGATCACCTGCCCTCATCACCCCACTCATTGCAGTGGGGGGAAAAAATCACACATTTAATTTTTTTTATTCATTTAAAAGTTGCTGGGCACTTAGGTTTTGTATATTTTTCTGGATATGTTTCAATTTAGGTTTAGAAGCTTCTAATTTAAACATTTACTTTAAAAACTTGTGACTCTTTTGACATCTCATGGAATTCGTGGTATCAAATCTTAGATCTGGGATCATTTCCCTTATTTCCATTCTGCTGTGTTTATTAGTCATGTATTTATGGATAAGCAGTTACCCCAAACTTGGTGATTTAAGACAATTAAACCTTTGTTATTTCGTAGTTTCAGGAGCTCAGCAGCTGCGTGGGGTGGTTGTGGTGTATGTAGTTCCTCAGGGATGGTAGGCAGGGTTTCTGAAGGCCTGGCTGGGGCTGGAGGATCCATCCGCTCAGTTCCCCTCCACATGGGCCTTCATTGGCAAGAGCAGCCTCAGAGAAAGCAAGCAGCCAGATTCCTCATGTCTCTTAGGACCCAAGTCACACGCCAATCAATTCTGTTAGAAGCCAGTCGCTAAGTGCAGCCCACATCCAAAGGCGAGGCTCTAGATGCTCACTCTTGAGAGTAGGAATATCAAAATTTGTTGACATTTAAAAATCACCACTCTCAAACGTGGCATGGCATTGGATGCACACAGGCAGCCGGGTTTCTGCAGAGTACAGCAAGGGGACAATGAATGTCTCTTCATGTTGCCTGTAAGCAGACACCCATGCCCCTCCTCTCTCCCACCCCTGCCTGTCTGCAAAGCCCAAACAAGAAAGGCCTGTTTGTCTGCTGAAAAGCATGAGTTGGGCCATCTGCTCAGCCTAGTGCCGCTTTGCATTACCCTGGATGGTGGCCCTTCCCAGCGGGCACCCCATGTGGGACCACTTCAGATTTTGACCCTCAGCAGCTCTCTGTTGGTGGAGATCAGGGATTTGCCTCGCTCATCTCTGTACCCACAGCTCTTACTGCAGTTTGGGGGGGTGCAGTAGCCCTTAGTAAAGTGAGTGAACAGATGAAGCAGGAAAGGTGGGGAGACCAAGTTAGGGCGCTGACAGGCCTTCCCAGTGAACTCAAGCTGATAAAATTTAGAGCTCAACAGCTTCCTGTCATTCCACATTTTTAGCTCATGTCTATGATGTAAATGTTGGAGAAATGGTTTAAGCGACCAGAATACCTTTTCTCAGCACTCATGCACGGTGTGAGTAAATAACACCGTGCATCCCAGGTGCTGGAGTGACAGGGCTATCTGTGGACCCCACCATGTCTCCTCAGCATCTGCTCACTCTCATTCCACTCATCCATACACTCAGGTTGGCCTTCCTTCACCTTGTCACTTCTCCAGCGGACAGCTTGTGTGCCTCCCTCTTTTCCTTGTGTACCAAGTATTCCCACTGGTCAAATCTGGTCTCTCCACCCCCGGACACAAGCATGCCCACCAGGTGCTCTTCCCCTGTCTATCCCAGTCTCTTATTGTGATCCAGTTGTCTGATGCCTTATTGTGGAGCAGGTGTTGGTTGTGTTGTATTGTGTTGTTGTTTGTTTTTTTAACAATCCCTTTAGATGAAAACTCTGGTTTTCTGCTATTAATGATACTCTGCTCCGTAGGAGAGAGTATCACTACAGTGCCGGAAGGTTCCATTCATCCTTGTGCCTGAGCCCTTGTGCATTGAGGGCTGGGCTGCCCATCCTCAGGTGAGAGGAGGTTCGGATGTGACCGGGCATACTCGGGACTGTCCTTAGGTCCGGGAGCTGGAGGCGGAGCTGGAGGACGAGCGGAAACAGCGTGCTCTTGCTGTCGCTTCAAAGAAGAAAATGGAAATAGACCTGAAGGACCTTGAAGCCCAAATTGAGGCTGCGAACAAAGCTCGGGATGAAGTGATCAAGCAGCTCCGCAAACTGCAGGTACACACAGCAGTACCCTGGCTCCGTATGTGTGAGCTGGTCCTACTGAGAGCAGACACCCACGGCCCTTACATGGTCGGACTATTGATGTGCTGAGGTGCTGTGTGGGCCAGGTGGACGACATGTACCTATGTCCCAACTCACGCTAGCAATGGAGGCTCCAGGTGGAGCTTCCTTATGAAACAGCCCTTGTGTTGATTTAAGACTTCTGGGAATACCCCACTCCAGAGTCACCCTCAGAGGAGGCTCCTGTTGACTCTGTGGAATTTTCACATCACCACGACAGAAAGTGTTTTCTATAAGAATTCCCAGTGTCCATGGGCCCTCTCGTGTCCAACTGATCGGAGCATACCAACAGACAGCTTTTCATTAGAGTTAAACCTTAGGGTTGGCAGAGGATTGTAGTACACACACATACACATATATGTTCTCCCCTCATGTTGTTGTTGTCAGGTGCCATCGAGTCGAAACCGACTCATGGCGACCCCACGCACAGCAGAACGAAACAATGTCCGATCCTGGGCCAACCTCACTACCGCTGCCACACTTGAGTCCATCAGTGATGCCACCTGGCCAATCCATCTCATTAGAGGTCTTCCTCTTTTTCTCTGACCCTCCACCTTACTCAGCATGACATCCTTCTCCAACAATTGTTTCCTACGGACAATATGTTCAAAGTATGAGAGGCTTTATGAGGGGAGAACTTAATGTTCTCCCCTCATAGAGAACATTAAACTGAATTTTATTTTCAATGTTTGGGTGACTTAAAACTGAGCGGGGAAAATGGCATTGAAAAAGCAGCGAAGAGAGATTGTTCTTATATACTGATTTTGTATTCTGCCAACCATGTTGCACTCGTTTATTGGTTCTAATAGCTTTTGTAAGTGGATTCCGTAAGATTTTCTCTCTATAATATCATGTCATCTTCAAATACAGCTAGTTTTACTTCTTCTTTTCCAGTTTAGATGTCTGCTATTTGTCTTACCTGATTGCCCTCACTAAGGAGCTCTGGTAGTGTAATGGTTACAAGTGGGACTGCTCACCTCAAGGTCAGAAGTTTGAAACTACCAGCTGTTCCAAGTGAGAAAAATGAGGCTTTCTGCTCTGGTAAAGATTTACAGCTTCAGAAACCCTGTACAGGATAGACTCCACCACCGTTACCCTGACCCAGACTCTCCAGTCCCGAGTTAAATAGATGAAAGAAGTCAAATATCTTTATCTTGTTCTTATTTTCAGAGACAGCGTTTTGTCTGTCACCATGAAATAGGATATTATTAGCTGTGGGTTTTCCATAGATGATCTTTATCAGTTTGAAGATGCTTCCTGGATTCATAGTTTGAGTGTTTTTATCATGAAAAGGTGTTAAATTCTTTCGGTGTTTTTTTGCAATCATTGAAGTTGATCATGTGGGATTTCCCTTTAGTAGTCCAGTGTGTGTCTTCATTCTCTAGTGCTGCTACAACAGAAATACCACAAGTGCGTGACTTTAACCAAAGTTCACTTTCTCACAGTTTAGGAGTCTCAAAGTCTAAATTCAGGGGTGCTTGCTCTAAGACAAAGTTCTCTCTTTCAACTCTTGGGGAAGGTCCTTGTTGCTTTCGTTTCAGCTTCCTGGTTCCTGGGAGATCTCCATGTGTCTTGACATCTGTCTTACCCCATCGCTCCTCTACTTGCTTATTGATCTCATTTATATCTCAAAAGAGATTGATTTAAGAGACACCCTACACTAATCCTGCGTCATTAAACATAGCAAAGACAACCATTCCCAAAAGGGATTATAACCACAGGCATACAGGCTAGGGGGCACTATTCAGCCCCTAACATTCCACCTTTTGACCCCCAAGAAATTCATGTTCTTGACACGTACAAAATACATTCATTCACCCCATCACATCATCATCCCAGAAGTCTTAAATCAAATCCAAGTCCAAACTGAAATCTTGTGAATCATCTAAATCAAATATGGGTGAGACTTTGGGCATACTCCATCTGGGACAAAATTCCTTTTCATTCTAGATTTCATTACAAGTTATCTGTTTCCAAAGTAAAATAGTAGAATAGGTACAAGATAGACATTTCCATTGCAAACAGGAGAAACTGGAGGGAAAGAAAGGCTAACCCAGCACAACAATTTGTGTGAGCTCTCCAGGCCTGCAAATAATCATCTGTTCTCTTGAGATCATTTGGGGAATGGCCCCACCTGCCAGTTTCTAGGTGTTGGCCATGCTCTCTGGATTCTGGGTAGAGACCCCTTGGCCCTGGGCTTCAGCAGCATCTTTCAGGCCCAGTGGGACAGCAGCTCTGCTTCCTCAGCTTTAGGTGGCCCTATTCTAGTACATTTTGAGTAGTGACTTCATCTACTTGGTCCCAGTAGGCGCCATTCTTCTGTCCTTTGGGCAGCACCTTCCTGGCATACCTTAATGGCAACCCCATACTCCATAGCTGAGGTGGTGAAGATCTGACTTTGTGATCCAGGAGAGTGGGACCCAACTCTTCATACCCAAGAAGGCCCTGGTTCCCTCGCTCCTCCAACAATCTGCTGATCTCCAAGCTTCTCCAGGGCTGGTCCTTTTGTTTTCTTAGAGGACAACAGCTATAGCTTCTCTGACTATAGAATTCCAAGAGGCAGATAATGTTCTCTCCTTTCAGTATTTCTCTGTCTCCTCCAGTCTAAGCTGATGTGTTTTCTGCTGTGGTAGTTAGAGCCATCAACCACAGCTTAGTCTCTTTAACAAAAGTTGTGTAGCCACATCCTTGAAGAAAATTCTAGGACATGTGTCCTTTGTTTGTTCAACAGAATTTTTCAAGTTTTGTTTTTATTTTGCACAGTTCATTTTAAGACCATCTCTTTCCCCTCACATTTTATTATAAGCAGCAAAAGAAACTGTGTGGGTCCTTTAAGATCTTGCTTAGAAACCTCATCAGCCAGATATCCAAATTTATCACTTACAAGTTCTACCTTACACCTGACATTTGAACATAATTCAGACTTCTTTACTGCTGCATGAAAAGCATAGCTCCTCCTCCATTGTTCAAGCACACATCGTAAGGCACATTTTCATGTCCACATTTCTAACTATTCTGTTGCTAGCACCATATGTATTCTCTGATAGAGACGTTCATATCTCTTCACACTTCCTTTTGAGCACTCACTAGAATTTTCTTTGATATCCATAATTCTACCAACAGTCTCTTCAAGGTAATCTAAGCTTTTACTATTGTTTGCTGTTAAGTTCCATCAACTCAGTTACAACGCATAAAAACCCTATATATGAGGTTTCCAAGGAGCAGCTGGTGGGTTTGAACTGCTGACCTTGTGGTTTGCAGTCCAGTGCTGATCTATAGCTGCACAGATCCTGATCTGCACCAGGAGTCTCTTCCAGCCTCTACCTATTGCCCAATTCTAAAGCCTCTTCCACAATTTAGGTATGTATTAGAGCAACACCCCATCTCTCAGTACCGAGTTGTGTCTAGTTCTCTAGTGCTGCTACAACAGAAATACCACAAATGGGTGACTGTAACCAATTGGAATTTTATTTCCTCGCAGTTTAGGAGGCTAGAAGTCTGAATTTTGGGCACCACCTTTTGGGGGAAGGCTTTCTTTGTCGGCTCTCAGAAAAGATCCTTTGTCTCTTCAGCTTCTGTTTCCTGGTTCCTTGGAGATCCCCATGTGTTTTGGTATCTGTCTTACCTATCTCGTCTCTGCTTGTTAAAGCTCTTGGATATCTCAAGAGATTGACTCAACATACATTCTACACTAATCCTGCTTTGTTGACATAGCAAAGATAACTAAGACTGATTTCTATTCCAGTCTTCTTTCTATTTAATCTTAGGCCCAGATGAAGGATTACCAACGTGAGTTAGAAGAAGCACGTGCCTCCCGGGATGAGATTTTTGCTCAATCCAAAGAGACGGAAAAGAAACTGAAGAGTCTGGAGGCAGAAATACTTCAGTTGCAGGAGGTTGGTTTGTCCATCTATCCATTTGTGCAGCAAATATTTGCCCTTGACATTCTCCAAGATCAGAAACATACTTCTATATCTTTGTAGCACAGCTTAATTGTAATTTCCATTTTCTGTGTGGAACTGGAATGTGTTATTATTTCAGCTTGGCAAATAGAAAGTGGTCACACTTGGGCACTGCTCAGACATTTTCTCCCTTCTGGCTAAAGACAAAGAAACTGACCAGGCCTTGTTCCAGTGTGTCTGAAAAAAGGTGTGTTCGTTTGGTGTTGGCAAGCATCAGGAACATTGCACTCTGACCTGGTGTTATGAGATTGCTGGCCAACTTTGGGACTTTGGACAAGTCCGTTAATCCATGTGGACCTCAGTTTCCATATGTTTAACGATAAAATAAGAATTTTCAAGTTCTTAGACTATGAGCTCAGTTTTCAGCCTTGTGGGGTAAGAAATGGGACCTGACCACTTCCTGTGGCAGGTCTTTTCAAAGGACATGTGTGCAGAACCGGCAATCAGGCACCTTGTCCTCTAGAGGCCATAGCCTGGGCCACCCCGTTGTCACCCACCTGCCTGTTTGCTCAAGCCTGGCTGGCAGGGGTTCATAGCCTTGGGAGGCGGAAGCTCTGGTCCCAGCAGGGGCCCTGATGTCACCTCTTCCCCCTGGAGCATGATTCTCATGGCACCCCACAAGGACATCACTCTGGGACCTTGATGGTCAGTCACTGGCTTTTCTAGCTAGTGTATACAGTCTCAGAAGCAGACTCTTTGTGTGCCATGAATAGGTCCAGCTCACGTTTCTTTAGAGTTCTGAGTTTGCGTGAAGTTCCTGTTGAGTTTGTGAAGAGTGTCGCCACTCTTCGGTAGGAAATGACGACAGCACAGCCTTATGTAGACTCCAGCATCCCTCGTGGGCAGTTTTGTGTAAGGATGTTTACCCAGCATGTCTGCTGGCTCACCCGCACCCACTATTGTCTGTCCAGCTTACTTCCTCAACTTGAAGCTGCAGTTTGGGGGCATTGACAGATTTCACCGTTGCAGGACAGAGCTTAAATCTGTCTCCACTCCTTTAGGAACTTGCCTCGTCAGAGCGAGCCCGCCGACATGCCGAGCAGGAACGTGATGAGCTGGCCGATGAGATTGCTAACAGTGCTTCTGGCAAGTGAGTCTTGGGCAGCAGGAGGGCAGGGCAGGAGTCCAGAAATCGGGGGTGCCAAGTGGAGCCCACAGGCAGCCTGTGGCTGGGCCCTCCCCCTTGACCACAAAGGCTGCAGGTGGCGTTTGGCTTCTGGGAGCCAGTGATTCTATGTAAGCTGGAGAGACTCAGTCAGGACGTTACGTTTAGGGACTGTAGACCGTCACACCTCCCAGTGCCAGCCCATTTAGCAGCCTTGTACGTAATGGATGTGATGCAAATGCATTTGGAACTCACCTGGTTCCCTGTAGATTGCCTTCCTTGCAATGCATTCTTTGCTTTAAAGTTCATTGGGTTTAGCAAGCAGATTCCTTAGACCTGATCTTTCTCTGAATTCTTTTTTTTCTAAGAATCTTCGTTATCTTTTTCCAATTACATTAATTTCTCCATTTAATTGTTATACTGAGGAGACGTAATATAGGAACAAAAAACCAAGGCCCATTTACTAGTACACCATGAGGTAGAGTTGGAATTTGATTCTTAGTGCAGGAGAAAACAATTCAGGAATGTAGGCCTGGGAATGCCATGGTGTGTTTTGCATTTTGCATGAACACTGACTGTACTGTATGTGGAGAACAGATGGGGAGAGGTAAAGGGCAGCAGGGAAGCCAGTGGGGAACATTGCCACTGTGGTCCAGGCAAGAGATGGTTGGCTGGACTAGCGCAGTGGACGTGGGGAAGGAGAGGAGCAGACGTTGCGAGTGTGGTCAGCAGGCCTTGCTGATGGGTTGGAAGTGGGTGCAGGGTGTTGTGTGAAGCTAGTGCTGAGCCAATGCACACTCCTCGCCTACCAGGTCCGCACTGCTGGACGAGAAGCGGCGTCTGGAGGCACGGATTGCACAGCTGGAGGAGGAACTGGAAGAAGAGCAGAGCAACATGGAGCTGCTCAATGACCGCTTCCGCAAGACCACACTGCAGGTGGGCACACTGGCCCCGGGGAAGAGCGTGCTGCCCTCCAAGCACACGTGCCTGAGCCCCGTCTCTTCTCCAGGTGGACACACTGAACGCAGAGCTGGCAGCCGAGCGCAGTGCAGCCCAAAAGAGCGACAATGCACGCCAGCAGTTAGAGAGGCAGAACAAGGAGCTGAAGGCCAAGCTGCAGGAGCTGGAGGGTGCAGTCAAGTCCAAGTTCAAAGCTACCATCTCAGCCCTGGAAGCCAAAATTGGGCAGCTGGAGGAGCAGCTGGAGCAAGAAGCCAAGTAAGACATTTTGCTACTGTAAGCCGAAATGGACTGCCTGTCTGCTAGAGACCCAGCTCCAGGCCAGCCTTGTGAGTCAGGGAGCAGGTACACGTGCACTTCATCGCATGGGGAAGAGATGACAAGAATGCATTGGATCAGGTAGGAGAACATGGAGTGAGTCAGATGAGTGTCAGGAGTGAGGTCAGGTGGCCATGGTGAGTGGACAGGGGCACTGGACCCACCTCTCAGCCCACCGCCCACTGCCATGGAGTCTGTTCTGACTCAGAGTGACCCTATATAGTGTCTCTGAGACTATAAATCTGTACAAGAGTAAACAAACAGCCTCCTCTTTCTCCTGGAGGGATGCTGGGGGATTTGAACTACCAACCTTACAGTTAGCAGCCTAATCCACAGTGCTGCCAGGGCTCCTTATCCAGGCTTAGCTAGGGGTAATCCACACGGTGCCCCAGGATTTCCATAGCTTAAACCTCTTGACCTCAGTATCTCAGCCAAGTTGGTGGCACCATGCAAACACGCTCCAGGGCAGGCGAGCAGATGTGCAGTGCAACCAAACTGGCAGTTCTCCCAAACGGACTGGCGCCGGCCAGCCTCCACAGTTGCTTTTGTTATCAATCATTGTGGAATTGTAAGGAATCGCCTGATGGGTTTTGCAGGCCAGCATTTATAGTTCTAGAAGAATCACAGAATGCCACAGCTAGAATAGACCAGTCAGCCTTTCAGTGTGGAGACTGCAGCCCTGCTCAGATCCCACCATCCCAGCCCTTCCCACTGTAGTCTTGTGACTCCACCAGGAAAAAGTGAAAAAACTCCAGGATTGGGATTATCTAGGTTATAATTACTGTGCCTTGCTCTGTTAGCTGGCTCCATTGCAATCCATTTTTGCACGTTGTTGTTAAGTGCCATTGAATCTGTTTCAACTCACAGCGACCCTGTATGGGGTTTCTGAGGAGCGGCTGGGGGTTTGAACTGCTGACCTTGTGGTTAGCAGTCCACTGTGTATCCTACAGCACCACATCAGCAGACTATTTATTTAAAACATAACTTTTTTGGGAAAAAAAATTTTCTGAAGAGTTCTCTAAATAAGTTACCCTCCTTGACATGGGACCAAGGAAGGCCTATCCAGAAGCGTGGTGATACGTCAGCTCCTCACTAGAGAATGGCCAGGGTTGTTCCTCAGTGTGGGCTGCTATAGTCTCCAGTGGGCAGTAGGTAGTGCAGTTTGAAACGATCCCTTGATACGGATTTGGGTTTGTTTCTAATGTTCTAGCTAGAAAGATAGGTAGTGAGTAGATTTAACCCATTAAGATTTTGTGTTCCAGAACTCTTGTGTTCAGTAAAGATGAGAGCTGACATGTGGCCTGTGCTGCTGAGAAAGGCACTGAAATGGTCCCTGCTCTGTGTGGGGAGCAGCGTACGCTCCAGCTGCCAGCACTGGCACTGGGGAACGCCACAAAGGCCCTGGAAAGCCCTCCAACTTGTGTAGTCATCCAAAGAAGCAGCTCTCAAAAATACGTATTTTTTTGCTATTCAAAATACCATTTCAGGGATTTCCAGACTAACCTGAGTCTTTCCATAGGGAACGAGCAGCTGCCAACAAACTAGTCCGTCGTACTGAGAAGAAGCTAAAGGAGATCTTCATGCAGGTTGAAGATGAACGTCGCCATGCTGATCAGTATAAAGAACAGGTCAGTGAAGGGCGGGGGGGAACTGGTCTCCCACCTTGAAGGTGCTCACAGAGAGATGAAAACAAAGCCAAGTGTTACAATTTGACTAGCAAAAATTAAGTTAGAAAATGCTGCTACATAAGGCTTTCGTTTCAGCAAACATGTACAGTTGGTGTTCCTGGCGGGAGGCTGCTGGCCCCACCCTCCAGTGGCTCAGGGAGACACATACTAGAGATGGCAAGGCACACTGGTGGGGAGGGGAGGACAGGCAGGAGAGCCAGCCATGAGGCTTTTCAGAACGTGGCCTGACTCAAACTGTAAAGTTCCTGCCCGTTTCCTGACTGAAATGCACACTTCCTGAGTGAGGGTTATTGTCATTAAATATGGGATGACAGAATGGGGGGTGCATGAGATGTTGTCTATAAAGGTGAAGAGGAAACAGATGTGCTATGAGGGACCCCAAAGCTGTGAACATTTGCATGCAGACACCCTTTTCCTACGTTAACAAGGGAGGACATCAGTAAAATCTGGGTCAGATGTATATTTGGGCCTTTCTCATGGCCTCAATCCCCACCGCTATGATGAGATTTAACCGCTAGCTGCAGACACCAGAACAGAAAGTTGAAAGCTGGGGTTTTCGCTACTTTCTATTCAGTTTCTCCCCTTCTGCAGGCAGGCACCCAGCCTTCCTTTCCCACCCGCCCTCAGGGCCTTGCAGCAATGAGGTTTGATGTGAGCACTGGCCAGTCTCATATGGCTCAGGAGTGAATGACCCAACCAGGGGTCCCTTGGTTCTCTGTCAGGTCTTCTCAAAGCGGGTATGAACTTGAATTGAAGGAGAGCATCAGAAACACCCTTACTTTAAAAACAGATGTGAAAGTACACTGTATAGTCTCTGAGTGTTGGGGATCCACCTGCGTGGGTCTACTGCGTTTTTTAAGAAGAGCAATTACCCTTCACAGCCACTTTGTGAAGTTACCACTGTACAATGCCGTTTCTCTGTAAAAAACTCATGAGTGAAAATGGGAGTTTTGATTTTTCTGTATTTCCTTGAGCTCAATGACAAGTGGTGTGTGGGCATTGGCTTTGCTGAGATCAGCAGGTAGACCCGTGTGCTGAGTGTGCTCACACTATTGACAGGCAGAGGACTGTGCACATTCGGCTCACTGGATGAGTCTGTCTTGATTCATTTGTTCCCCAAGATGGAGAAGGCCAATGCCAGGATGAAGCAGCTTAAGCGCCAGCTGGAGGAAGCAGAGGAAGAAGCTACACGTGCCAACGCATCTCGGCGCAAACTCCAGCGGGAACTGGACGATGCCACTGAAGCCAACGAGGGCCTGAGCCGCGAGGTCAGCACCCTCAAGAACCGGCTGAGGTAAGTGAGCTCAGGGACTCCATGAGCAGCCAGGTCTCAGAGCCTGCAAGAAGACTCAGGATTTGAATGGTTTTTACTTGGATTCGTGTACAGTGTGGCCCGTTACTTCTCTTGACTTCTTTCCCATTTATCCATTCAAGAAGTCTGGCATTTCTAGTCATTCTTGGGAAGAACAGGCCCACTCGCTGCCCTTGCTATTCACAAGTGATTCATGCTAATAAATGGCAGTCGGCCCGAGCACTAGGCCTGCCCTTCTCCTCACTGTCCGTTACTGAAAGTACAACCTCCATTGCGAAGCAGGACAGGAGCCCCTCAGAGGGCCATGGGCTGCCCTTCTCAGCACACGCTTTTCTCCACTGGGCTGGGCACAGGCCACTGAGGAAGGAAGCATGTGAGCGCTGAAGCATAACTTCCTCCCCCAAATAACAAGGATCAGCCAACTAGCCCACAGGCCATATGTGGCCACTATTTGCCTTAATTTTTATACAACCAATGAGGTGTAAAGGAGCCTGGTGGCACAGTGTGTTAAGCATTTGGCTGCTAACCAAACGGTCAACAGTTTGAAGCCACCAGCTGCTCCGTGGGAGAAAGATTGAGGCCGTCTGCTTGTGTAAAGATCTGCTGACTCAGAAACTCTGGAGCAGTTCTGCACTGTCCTCTCAGGTCACTCTGAGTTGGAATGGACTCAATGGCAGTGAGTAATGAACTATACGTTTTTAAAAGATTGTTTTAAAATGAGAAAAGGGGGCAGAGACCCTGCCTGACCTACAAAGACTGAAATAATGACTGGCCTTTTATAGGAAAATTTTGCTGACGCTAGGCTAAAATATCCCTTACCATTTCTACCACAGCCAGTCTTGAACTGAAATCAAGCCGTCTTCCATTGTCTGAGGACCTGCTCAGGTGTAATTCTGCGTGATGCAACAGGGTGAGGGGTGGGAAACACAAAGTCTTTCCTACTCGTGCCACCCACCCATCTCAAAGATGACGCTCTCAGGAGGAGGTGACAGTGGGGGGTTGCATAGCACGGCAGCCTCGAGCTCCTGTGTCCATCCGTCTCCAGTTTTAGTGTCCAAAAAAAAAAAAACCACTGCTACTGGGTCCAAGCCTCTATAGAGGGTTTCCCAGGCTATACAAGTGCACCAAGCAGGCAGCCTCATTCTTTTCCTCAGAGTGGCTGGTGAGTTTGAACCTTGCCAACCTTGGGGTCAACAGCCTACCACCTAATCCACAGCACCATCAGGGCTCCTTAAGTGTAGAGAAGGATGTCGCTAGAAGTTTGGGTCTGGTGTCCACTGGGGTTGTTGGTGCTTTCCCACAGCCTGTGTTCTTACAAACACAGATGCTTTGTTCTCTCCAGGCGGGGCGGACCAATCAGCTTCTCTTCCAGCCGATCCGGCCGGCGCCAACTGCACATCGAGGGGGCTTCCCTGGAGCTGTCAGATGATGACACGGAAAGTAAAACCAGTGATGTCAACGAAACGCAGCCACCCCCATCAGAGTAGAGCCACAGGAAGCCGGTGGAGGCCATACAGTGTGGCACAGGAACTCACCGGCTGCTGGCCTACCTTGGGGCCGCCTACAGATTTCGGAAATGAGCACGCCTACGAGATTCCTTACTGAAAGATCAACTGTGTCTTAAGGCTCTCCAGCCTACCCATACCATTATCCTGCTTCAACTCTAGGTACAATTGCTCCCCCTTTTCTATATATATATATATATATATACACACATTTACAACACACACAAAAGATTGCCTCTTCATTGCATCTATTTTCCATATATTCATCAAAAGACCATTTTATAATACACGTTAAGAAGACCCCTTTTTGAAGCGGACACTCGTGCCCCCTGGTCCCCAGGGCAGCGTGGTTGTTGCTCAGTCGCTCTGCATGCTCTGTTCTACAGACCGCTCCTTAGTTCTGTGTTCCTCGGCCACAGCAAGTCTCTTAGAACATTGTGGAACCTAAACTGCACTTGTGTCTCATTTTCCTCAAATAATGATCATCACAATTCAGTGAGTAAACTGTGAATGGGGCTTTGGAGAGATCAGGAGGGGTGGGATGGACTGGAAGCAGCAGCATCCATTTGGGGGTTTACCATGCCCACCTCCCAAGGCCCTCGAGTTGATGGTGTCCCCACATTTATGCCTGTGAACCGTCCTTGGCCAGAGCTGGTCTGTACATAAAGGATAATGGCCGTGGTGGAGCTGTGGCCCCTGGTGCAATCACCACTTCGACCTCTGGATGTGGTCTCCTCAACACTGGCTTTGCCAGGGCACCTTCTCATCAGAAACCAGCAGCTCTGGGCCCCTAAGGTGGTGGAAGGCCCACCCTCATCAGTCAGGCTCTCATGCTGACCCTGCAAATTCAGCCGCTGCTTTGAGCCCAAAATGGGAATCTTGGTTTTGTGTCCAAGACTTGTTCCAAGTTTGTCAGTGAGGTTTGCAGAACCTCAAGACAAGATGCCATCTCCTGAATGTTGACATGCCAGTGGATGTGAATCCCTTCTCATTTCTCCTCCTCCTTCCCTTCGGACAGTGTTACAGTGAACATCTAGCATTCTTTTTTTTGGTTAATAGTTGAGCAAACTGACATTACAGAAAGTGCCTTAGACACTACAGTACTAAGACAATGTTAAATATATGATTTGCCTCTATAACAATTTAATGTATTATTAAGTTTTGACTGTGCTTCATATCATGTACCTCTCTAGTCAAAGTGGTATTATAAACATTCAGTGACAATGAATCAGTGTTAATTATAGATCCTTGATCCTCTGCAATGTGCTTGACAACACAAACCTTTTGGGTTAAAAGCTTTAACATCTGTTAGGAAGAATTTGTGGGTTCGGAATCTTTGATTCCTCCCTCTCTCCTCTCCCCTCTTGATGAATTGTACTGGCTGTTGACCACCAGACACCTGACTGCAAATATCTTTTCTTGTATTCCCATATTTCTAGACAATGATTTTTGTAAGACAATAAATTTATTCATTATAGATATTTATGCCTGCTCTATTTACTTGGAGGAAAAAGCACCCGTTGAGAATAAAGAGACCTCAATAAACGTGAAGAATCATGTGGACATGGAATCTGTTTTCTCACCCTCTGTTCTTGGCTCCCCACCTCTGGTGACCACCGGAGGTTATTAGCTGCACAATCTTAAAATGAGGCCAGCCAGGCCCACAGCCCACGTTCCTTTGAAGAGCTCTGTGCTCTTGGCAGCTCTCGAACGACAAGCTGCCTCTACAGGCAGTCAGCCTCCAGTCCTGTCATCACTGGAGTCCTCAGTGGTGTGGGTGCTGGCAGACCAAACTCTTGAGACAACAGGACAGAATCTCCCAGAGGGCTTTGATCAAATCCAATGAAACACATTACTGGATTAGTCTTTTAAGAGATCTAAAAAGTTTCTGGCTACATTTTAGGTAGAATGCCCATGAAAATGCTTTGGAGGAAGATTCAGTGGTGAAGACCCCAGGGCAGCCTCTATAGTATGGACCAACTAGGATAAGCTTGGTAACAAAATCATGTGGAGAATGCAGATGTTTATTTCACAAAATTCTCAGGATAGCCTGGTTCTCATGGCGTGGACCATATGTTCAGGCTTGGCAGTGGTGGAGACGTGGAAAGTAACCCAAAGTGCAAGTAAAAACTCTTTCTCTGCTGGTTGCCTTAACTGGTGGTAACATCACAGTTTCCCAAACAGCCTTTGAGGAGATATCATCTATGGGGACTGATTCCAGTTCCTGGTTCCACAAAGGTGTTCATTAGAAGGGACCCTTCTTCACTAAGCCAATCATCATTTCATCATTGCAGAAAAGTAATAAAAGTTGTGTGAGATGTTTAAAGTACAAGGAAGATATTTTATGCGACTGGGCTTTGAGTATGTAAAACATTAAAAGTTTGAGGTTCTGCCCAGCAGGAATGTAGTTCATCAGGAGAAATTCAGGCAAAACTTGAGAGAATCTTGTTCTTCAGTGTTTAAGATGAGGCATTGCTGGGGTTTAACAGGTGGCTGCTGGGAAAGCTTCATGCTCTGTCCTTGCCACAGTACAGGCGCTTGGTTTTTTAATGCAAACATTCCAGAGAATTATTTTAAACTGTTTGGCTGTTTGGGTAGGAAGAGCACTCGTATTCCTAGCCTGACTGGTTTGTGGGTGAACTCTTGCAAATCAGAAAGGCTCTAGAGCCCTGTCAGACTTCCTTTCTGCCCCCTTTTCCCTATCCTAGACACCTCAGCTAGGAAAGCCAGCAGCTTTCTTATAATGCCAAAGTGTGCTGTAATTAGCTCTCCCACTGGCTCTAGGTATGACGGACCTGTGGCCCCTGCCTCCTGAAGCCAGCGTTGCTGAGGGGGACAGCACAGGTATGTCAGGGCTGAGGACAAAAAGAACATAGTTGTCAAGCTCTAGGAATCGCCCTTTCCTGCCCCACCTTAAGTTTCTAAGGAGCGGCATATGGGTTTGGAGTGCTGACTTTGTGGCAGTGTTGATCCTACAGCGTCACACCAGGATTCCTGACCCACCTTAGCTCTCCCCAGATCAAGTCAGGAACCCTAGAAAGTGGAGAGGATAGCTTCGCTAGTTCATGACAGGTCTGAGAGCGATGTTTGTGAAGCCTGCATACTCTGTTCATACTAGCTTCTTATGTCATTCCAAGAGGACAGGGAGAAAGCACCCCCCACCCACCTTTCCAGGGAAACATCAGCACCAAAAGCTTACCTGTATTCTGAGTATTTGCTAGATAAAATCTTCTGTCCTAGGGCAGCTTATCAGGGCCAGATAAGGCAGTCCACCTTCTTATGTCTTGTGTGGCTTGTATAAGAAGTCTAATATTAAACTACCAAATGATATATTTACATGATCCCTGTTATCAAAGATGATGCAAACTAACTATAGTGACCATGTGCTATATGCCGAGTCTGACCATGTCCTTAAACCCTTCGTGAGATTAGAAATTCATGTTCAATTTCTTAAGGCAAATGAGGTCTGTTTTTTCAAACGAACCAGTAGTGGGTTCCCTCCCAGGTTTCCAAAGATTTCAAGAAGTAATGTCACAATGACTTTAACACTGGGTTTGACTGAACATCCAGAATGCTGCCACCTCTGAGGTTCTATGTTGCATAAAGTATGGTACCCACTTTGTCCAATATGTAAATTCTTCTGTCTTAACGATTGCTGTCACCTGGGTGGAACCTGAGATGTATGGGGTAAGATCCAATGAAGCCCAGCATCAACACTTGCAGAATGGGCGTCAACAGCTTAGAAGAAAATTCTGGGATCATCAGTGAATAACACTTCAGGAATGCTGCATCATGACACAAAGGACACCACTGTTTGCAAAAACATGAACAAGGACAATCTGAGTCATCAAGTGGTTCCGAATGTCGGCCTCACAATGCCAAGTTGTGGGAATATCTCACCTATAGTCTCCTTTATGTAAATGAAGTGTGGTAGGAGGAAACTGTCTAAAACCATCTACAGGAACTCTTTCATGGAAGTCTATAAACGATTAAGTGCTTTCATAGTTTTCACTGGCACATTTTTCTTAATGGTTCAAAAAATAAAAGTGTATCTTATAATCATCGGTGTCTTGATTCTCTGAAATACAGTACTTGTCCTCTTCTCACCACACCAGTGCTGGGGCAGAGTCTGTACTTTTTAAGTTCCCCAGGTCATGGGGCAAACCAGGGAGTACTTCCTTGTGATACTGTGCAAAATGTAATTAGGCCAGTTTGGGCAGTAAAAGAAATCAGTCTCACTACTTCAGTTTTTTAAAAAATGGGTTTGGGCAACTCTACAGAAAAACTGAATACCCAAAAATAGCCAACATTATCTTCTTCATTTCAACTCTGGTCTTTGTCAGTGAATACACATTTTTTTCAAAATGCTGCAATTAGCAGGCTCATCTGTTTTGCATCCTTTCCCCATTGGCCATTCCCCATGTGCCCCCATCTTCCCTATGGATTACCAGGGCTACACACTGAGTTACAACTGCTCTGTAGGATCCTAGTTCTACAGATAAGACATCCTGACCATTCCACTACCGTTAGATGTTTGTATTCTTGCCATTGTAATAGTTTTTTTCTTACTATTAGGGGTATTATTCCAAAAGTAGAAAGTTTTTATAGTAGACCTCAAGGTCAGTTTGAACCACAAAGGCAGTAGTTCAAACTCACCAGCAGCTCCTTGGAAACCCTATACAGGGTCCTCACTACGAGTCAGAACTGACTCCACGGCACTTAACAACAAACAACAATCATTATTAGAGTGACGCAAGACTTCTAGAGAATTTAGTAACACCAGTAACATAAAAGTTTACCTGTTTGCCTACATACTAGCTGTGCTGTGGAGTTGGTTCTGACTCATAGCAACCTATATAGGGTTTCCAAGGCTTTTAATCTTTGCGGGAGCAGAGTGTCATCTTTTCGGCCACAGAGCTGCTAATGGGTTAAAACCACTGACCTGGTAGTTTGTAGTCCAGTGCATATCCTATGGAACAGTGGTTTCATTTGCTGGGGTTGTTTTGGTTTAAAGCTTTTTTTTTTCAGCCAAAATTCAGTGTTTCTTAACTCCATTATCCACTAGGGTTCCTTCCACACCTCGTCTGGACATGACTTACCTGGACTTTATTCGAATGTAACGAGGCCCAAGCATACCTTTATCCCACCACCCTCCTCCCAGGCCTCCACCCACAAATCCAGATCCAAGCAGGATCTATCATTTCAAGGAGACAACAGTCAAATTTGATACTTGATTCCAAACACTCCACACATAAAAAGGGTTGTATTTCTGTTCCATTTGCATCAGGTGTCCCTGGGGAAAGCTTCAAAGCTGACTGGAAACCACTCCCATACTGAAGCTAGACAGCAGGAGAAAGCATGGTCCCAGGAGAAAGCCACCCCACGCCCAATGGCCCCCACAACACTGCACTGTGAGCTTTGTACTATTTTCAAATTTACTTACTCGCACACACATGATCTTATACAGGAAATCTGTTACCTTAAGATCACTTTTCTTTAAAAAAAAAAGGGATACTGTATCCCAATATGTAATAGTCATAGGACCAGTTTTCAAATGTTTTAAGTCATCAGAAAATTATTTACAAATAGGACTTCTCCCCCATTTTTAGGAAGAATCAAGTTAACAGCTGTATTTTCAAGGCCAAGTTATAGAGCCTTGGGGGCGCTGTGGATTAGGCAACCACAGGTCAGCAGTTCAAACCTACCAAGGTCAGTGGTTCAAACCCACCAGTCACTCTGGGAGAAAAGTGAGGCTGTCCACTCCCATAAAGATTTAGTTTTGAGAATCCTATATAAGGCTACTCGAGTTGGAACAAAGGCTGTCTGTCCCTTAATGTTTTTTCCCTTTGTTTTTATATTTGGGGGAAATTTGTTGTTCAAGTATTGTTGAGTGGGTTCTGACTCATAGCAAGCCTGTATAGGGTTCCCAAGGAGCAGCTGGTGGGTTTGAACTGTCTACTTTGTGATCCTACAGCCCATGAAGTAGAAGCCAGAATATAGAAAGAGGCTCATCTTAGCCAAACAGGGAAGACAACAGGTTGATTGGACCATCCCACTCTCTGGCAGCTGGGCTGAATGTCCTATGTTACCAGTGTCCTATGTTACTATGTGTCTCCACTATGGACACCCTTCCTTCCCCAAAAGGTTAGCTGCTACCTTGCTTTCAGGAGACAGTATCTCTGGGCCAGCTTCAGAGAGGCAGTCGGCCAGTCCAAGAGCAAGAGGGCTAAGAGAGTGGAGGGAGACGGGTGAGTTCTTTTCCTCCCAAGGCTCATGGTTTCCAAACATTCAAAATCAGCTCACTTGCTCGATGCACAAGACCGACACCTTTTAAACAAGGCCACTGAAGCCTCAGCTTGGAAAGGTATCAAGTACAACAGAAAAAGGCTCTGGGTCTGTTTCCCATCCTGACTCTGCTACTGACTAGTCCTGGGAGCACACGCAAGTCACTGAAGCTCTGGGCCCACTTTCTCTTCTGGAAACTGAAGGCAAAAAAAAACAAGCTTGTCCAGGTTAGAAGATACACATGAGAGAGCTTCAAATAGTTCATGGAAAATGGAATTAAAAGATGATGGACTTTAAGACCCCAGCTCTGTCTTCTGCCTCTTGGATGAGTTGGTACATGATAGATTCCAATCACCCTGGGATGAATGGAACAGGAGTGCTGGCTCCTACTGATAAGGGAGATGTTTTGGGATCGAGGGATGGAACTGTGTGAGTGAGATGAAAACAAGTGGAGACAAGAGGCTGTCCTTTGCCACCTAAAAAATAAGGTCCCTCCAGGCAGGGAAGACGCAGCTCCCATGCAGCTCATTCACTGAGAGCCAAAAATCCAGGTAGTTGGCACCTCTAGAAAGACAAGCCACTCAGGCAATACGCAATCTTTAGCAAAAGACAGGCAAGCAATGCACAGTAACATCCCTGCCTTGTGGCAGTCTCCGTGTGTGCAAGTACAGAGAAGCATCTTGAATCAGCTCAAGACAAAAACTCCAGGAACATTTCACAGCAGGCATTTAGAAGGGATTTCTACAAATGTAGCCTACTTAATGTTTCTTATTCACTTAGGAATTTAATCCACTTAGAGCTCTGGTAGCGTAGTGGTTACGAATCGGGCTGCGAACCTTAAGGTCAGCAGTTCGAAACTACCAGCCGCTCCGCGGGAGAAAGATAAGGCTTTCTTACTCCCGTAAAGATTTACACCCTTGGAAACCCTGTACAGGGTCACTATGGGTTGGAACCGACTCGACGGCACTTAACAACAACAACAACAATTTCATATTTACTTATGGTTTTAAAACCGAAAGTAGACTACACTATTTATCTTCTTAATTATAAGCAAACAGAACCTGATACAGTCACAACAACCCAGTTACACATGCCTCAAGTGCAGTCACAGTGGAGGTGTAGCTAGCACACATGTGCTATCTTCTCTCTATGCTAGCATCAACCTGAGGGCTGAGAAGAGACCTAGATCCCAACAGCCTCTAATCTACAGCATCAAATTGTGCACATTGGAAAATCCACTTCCAGGACCCAGTGCAATTAGATCTGCAGCCAGCAAGCTCCGTCCTTCCCAGACTTCCACAGGGGCCTGAATCTTTCCGGCCCCTTCCACAGCTGCTGTCCATGCATCCCACTTCAGAGCAAGAGGTGATGTGACTGACCCTATCTGTGTGCCCCAATCTTTTCTCACAGGAAGGACCCCAATAAAGCAACTGCAACCCTTTTTTTTTTTTTTTCTGTGAAATTTATTGTTTCCACATTAAAAGGTTATTATTCTTTTTTTTTTTTTGGAGGGAAAGAATTGTTTTTTAACCACATGATGATCCTATACAGCTGCCCAGAGGAGGACACCATCATAAGTCATTAACATGCCATATGAGTTCTGAATAAATAAAAGCTACAAAGCCCAAGTTATATACAAATATCTTGGGCAATAATGTTTACAAACCTATATACAATAAAACAAATGTAAACAGTAAATGCAGCATGAGAGTAATCAAAGGATGCACAGGAACCACCACCGACCGTCAGTCTGCCCTCCCTAACACAACTGCACAGGCCCTCCGAAGACACAGCAGTGCTCTCAAGGTGGCATTTCAGTGCAAGGACTGGAAGCTGACGAAGAAGAAGCCAGCCTCTCCCCCAATCTGAGGTGCACGGGGGAGGAGATGGCACAGAGCGCAGCCCCGTGTGTGCCGAGGTCCAGGGCCCCTGCTATCTGGGCTCAGATGAGCATCCGCTGCTTTGGGAGGCAAGTCTATGGAATGATAACCGCTCAAGTCAAATCAGAAGGTGCAGAATGTGTTCCCTAGCTCAGTGAGCTTCCTTACTCTCTTCCGGAAACAAGCCCAACCTCAGGCCCAGACTGCAGGTGGAGTTGGGAGACACATGATCATGAGTACTGAAGATGCTTGGGTGGAAGCTCAGGAACAGGTATACATCCACCTGACTTACGGGAGAACTCTAGAAGAGGTGCAGTGTCCTAAACACCATTAAGTCCTATCAGCAGAGCAGGGTGGGGGATATGGGGCGATGTGATGAATGGGTACTTCTGCATCCAGTAACCAAGTAATACACGTTTGTATCACCTCGTGACCCACAAAAGTGCAATCATGTGAAACCAACGGCACTACGGCGAGAAGAAAAAATAGCCAGTATTGATATCGCGCAGAGTCCTGGAGCTGGGCCCAGCAGCCATCACTGCATGCAGCCTGCCATCTGCCAGTCACCAGGAGGCAGATGGAGGGGCACGGGGTTGGGCCCAGGCACCGAGGGGTGAGGCGTGGGTGTCCTGGGTTAGTGGAGGAGGGCACTCACACACTGAGAGGCAACATCCCCGGTGCTGATGACGGACGGGAGGAACCCAGACCAGGAGGAGGAGGAGCTGGGTCAAAGCCGTTTACTGCCCTGTGGGGTGATCAGAGCAGAGAAGAGGGAAGGAGAGAAAGAGAGACTGTCATTTAAAATTTCTCTACACACAGTGGGAAATTCCACATTAAAAGATCTGCTCTCTGAAACTATCCCTCTTCCTGGCCCACAGAAGACCCCTGGTGGCCCCAGGATGAGTGATGCCTGTAAAGCAGGTGGGCAGAGAACTGAAAAGTTCCTGAGACCTGAGGTGATGAGCTGGGGGATTCCTCCCAGCAACTTCATTCAGGCCTCTGCAGCCACCTGTGGGAATTTTTGCTATAGTACAGGCCTAAATGCCTGACAATAGAGAACTAGTTGAATAATCATCATTTAAAAAGCATAACACTAAATGATGAAATGTTATACAGCCATCAAACACACACACTACTGACTTTAATAACATGGGAAAATATTCAGAATTATTGCTAAGTTGGAAAAGAAGCAGGTTGCCAAACTGTATGTTGAATGATGTAGGTAAATAAGAAAATGTGCATTCTAGATTCTAGAATATAACCCTATTTAGATTGACATAACTATCTAGAATCTATGGTTGTGTGTGTATGTTTGTGTGTATACATATATATACACATACACACACATATATGTACATACAATAATATACGAGGGGCCTTCAAAAAGTTCAAGGAAAACTGCCATTATCTTTTAACTTCATTAAATTCTAAAAGGAAATTTTAACAAAAATTACTTTTCTTCCCTCTGAGAGTGGGTGAGTTTCATTTCATTATACTTTATTATTTTTGCAAATCTCCTAAATATACAATAAACAAGATACATAAATACCTTAATAAGTGGAAAAAATAACTTTTAAAAGCGGTTTAGTATGCAAAGCCAGATAAGTAGACTCTGCAGACTCAGAGCAACAGGCCAGGCCAGCACGAGTGCCTACAGTCAGACACGCATGCTGGCCCCAGTGATGATGCAGAGAGCCCAGCCCAGCCCCTGACAAAGCAGCGTCGGGAAGCAGCCAGGGAGTGAGTGCAAGACCTGGCACCTCTCTCAGGAGGCCACAGTAGTCTTCCTCTAGTGAAAACACTTCTTAGGAAGTTCTGTCCCACTAATAATTTGGGGGATACAGCCTTCCCCCCATACTTTCCCATTTCTGGGCCCACCCCCTCACTGGAGGGGTCTAGGAAGTTCAACGTAGATTCATGTGGAGAGGTTCCCTTCAAAGAAAAGGGCAGACACACACGAGCCCCACAAAGATAACTGTTTTGTACACAGACCTAAGGGGAGACACACGTGGAAATAGACACACAAAGAGATTTGACAAATGACTGCATTGATAAAAGTGTCTAAAACCCTACAGGACTCAGACCCCTAACTGAAGAAAGTAACCTTCCTATGTGTAAATATGTATTTCCATTTTGAACTCGAGCCTTCTCCACCCAGACCAGGAGCAGCAAGAGCAGCTCTGACACATGTGACTCCCTGTTATACATTTCCCACATCAGGATGAGTATCCAGATTACAGCATTTTCCCCTTTCTTATGGCCGAGTCTAATTTTTAAGCAGCATCACACTTGAAAACGACATTCACATCTCTATTTCTCCCAAGGGTACATTCATGCGCCTCATATGGGGGCAGGACCTAGTCTCATCTGTCACAGTGACCCTCATCATAACAATTTACATTAAAAAAAAAAAAAAAAAGTCTATCGTTTATCTGGCTATTTCCAGAACCACCAAAACCTGCTTCTCCTAGAACCTCAAGGAGAAACAGGCAGGCTTCCCAAATGTGGGGTCATCAGAGTCCCTGTCCTCACAGACCATGGCAGCCAGGCAAGTGCACTGGAGACAGTCCCCAAAACTCAGCAGAAAGGAAGTACTGTGGAAGAGCCTGACTGACACCTGTCCCACAGGCTCCACTGAGGTTTAGGGTGGGATTCTAGCATTTTCCAGCTAGAAAGGCCTTTAGAAAATAGCAAATTCCATCCTACTGTTATTATCAACGGGGAAACCAAAGCAAGAAAAAAGCACTATCATTAGCCTGAGTCACCCAGCAAGACTGCCATTAGGCATTAGGTCCCCAGAGGTCACTCAGTGAGCACACAGGTTAGCTCTAGTCAGGACAAATACAGAGAACAAGTAACTAGAAAAGCAGTTTTTCGATGTTGTCAGAAATGAGGACTCTTGATTTGAAGATGGGTGGAGTACAGAAAACAACCTGATGGGGTCCCAGCAAGTACCTTTTTTCTGTGTCATGAAGTGGGAAGTCAAAGATCAGAGGGAGAAAAAAGCTGATGGTCTCAGTGGGCTTCTCAATCTAGAGGTTACTTCTGGAAACTAGATGGTGAGGAAAGACCCTCTCATTCTGCACCACACCTGGCTTCTGAGAGCAGGATAAAAACCAAAGGGAAATGTCCCAGTGGACAACACAGGGCAGAATGGAGAGATAACAGGTAGATGTGGGGCTCATCTAGTACAGGGTTCCAACCAATGGAATTTCATCATCTTACCACTAAGAAAAGATGCTAAGGTGAATCGCACCATGGCAATAGACCAAAAAAAAGAGGGGACGGGGAGAAAAGTACATTTAGAAGCTGGTCAGACAATAAATACACCAAAGGAAAAAAAAAAGTTCTTCATCAGTCAAAGCAGCAAGAAAGGGCACACCTAAAGGGGCAGTAGGGAAAAGACAAGGTTGGCCTGGAACAAATTCAGAGAGGCAGGCGGCCACACTCCAGACCCCCAGGCTCCTTGTTTACATGGAAGCTCAGAGCTACAATCCTCAGTCCAGGCTCTGAAAACTGAGAAACATTTCTGAAACGTAAGGCCCCCATCTACTGTTCTAATTTGCAGTAAGAATAAGTAAGAATACTAGAGGGGCCCCCTCCTTCCCCGTACCGCAACAAGGCTGCACTATGTTAAGTACTTGACTTGAGAAAACAAGACACTGCGTGACAAGAAGAATTTCAGACCATGAAGACAGTCAGATGTGATCCCACGGCTTGCCAGAGACCCTCAACTCCCACCCACACTCCTAGCAGTACCGCTACAGCAGCACCTCAGCCTACATCAAGAGGGCCAGCAGTCATGCTACCCACAACCATCCCAGGACCACAACTCATACGCTTTTGTTCTGAACAGCTAATAATGGTATACAAGCAGTTCCCAGATTATGCCCAAGTTCTGTTCCTAAATGTATCTTTAAAATGGATTGGTACTATTTCACAACAGTTACGTACAGTTCCTATCTGACGTCAGTTAGTCAAATGTTTATCTTAGTATACAATATCTAGTGTACCATTCCATGCATAAAAAACACTAAAGTCACACCTCCAGCTATACTAAAAACCTCTTTAACATAACAATACAATAGTAATGATCATATTTTGATGTGTGTCTCAAAGTAGCACTTGTTTGTAATTATGAATAACTGTATGCATCTTGAATCTTTAATACAATAGCTTTAACAGGGGTGGGTTCATAATTCCGGGTTGATTTAAATTGGATGTTCATAACCCAGGGACTGCCAGTACAATCACATCAAACAGGAACTTGAACGCTCACTCATGGGCTATAAATTGGTTAAAGCTGAGTCAGCCCCATGCAGTTAGTAAACTCAATTTCTGTTTCAGTTAAAGTGTCCTCCACCACACACTGTGATTGACAGAATGAGAAAGAACACAGCAAACAAATTCAGTTACCCATGAACAACGTGGGGAATATGACTTTTTCTTGCCTAATAAAAAAAAAAGGAAAAAACATTAAACAGTAACACAAATACTATTTCCCACCATTCCCTATACAGCCCACCTATACAGAGCCCCAAACACATCAGACGGGTGTAAAAACTATGGTAAGGGGTACGTAAGAAATGAGATAAACGTTACGGAGAGGAAGAATGCTTTGGAGAGAGCTCTAGTGACTGTATGCCACACAACACTTACACCCTTGTAGAGAAGTAGTAATATGACGGGCTACTATTAGTGGATGGGAAAACAGAGCAACCCACAGTTTAGGGACCAGCAAATACCAGAGACTAGATAAAATCCTGATTCTGTGAAACCCTCTGCCAGAATTTTAAATATATTTTTGAATCAGATAAAGTTAAATATATTTACGAGGCATATGAATTAAACACCTCACGTACTTAGATATGTGAGTATTGCTTTATGCAATAAGACTTCACCATCCTGATGATTTTCAGGGGGTATACTCCATACATACATACATGTAAGCAGGCACACATGTACTCTCACTTTCAGGCCTCCTCTAAGGTCTCCAGTGGCACTAGAGAAACTATAGGGACAGTGCTGCAGCCATGCTCCTTAGGCTTCTTAAAGTGGGAGCATTTTCTCATGCTGAAATGATAAGCCGTACCTCCAGACTTGCTTCTGTAATAACTGGCTTTGTTCTTGTTTTTCAAAAACCTGCCAGATTTAATCATGGAGCAGGGAGGTGACTACTTTCCCCCCTGCCTTTTGTAGGCAATATACAAAGTTAGTTGCTCAAATTCACAAGCCACTCCTCAGAAACCCTATGGTCGCTATGGGTGGAACCGACTTGACAGTACTTAACAACAACAACATACATCATTTGGTTTTTATCTAGTGAGTAGTCCAGCAGGAAGAAAGGCCAGGCGGCCAGATTGAAGCCAGAATCTAAACAAAACCACCAGCAAATAGAGAACACAGCAAAACCCACATGAGTATTCTTTTGAGGGATATGGCAACTGGACAAAGACAACTCAAGTCAAGAGGTTAATGTCTCAGTGTACGTATACACAAACCAATCATCACATAAGCATTTGAGCAAAGGCCAGCCCACAAAAAAAATATTTAATTTTTAATACAAATATTACAATATAAAATTTGTACAAATTAAATGCAAAAAAAAATAAAATTATATCTAGCGCTATAGGACTGGCACAGGACCACGAACCACAAGGTCAGGAGTCAAACTCGCCAGTTGCTCCTCAGAAACCCCATAAGGGTTGCTACGAGTCAGAACCAACTCGATGGCTCTTAAGGACAACAATATGTGTGCTTGTAATCGAAATATGCACTTAATGAAATGTGTACACTCCAGAGATTAACCAGAACACTACATCTACAAAGGTGGATAGAAAGAGCTTTTTAGAATGGACTGTGAATGTGCCATCATTGTGAGGAAAACAGACACACAAGTTCCTTTTCAAAATTATAAAATTATTCAGAGTTGTAGCTGTACTATTGTTTGTAGAAAAATGTGAAAATGCCTCTACAGTTTGAAGCAGAGATAGAAACAAGGGTGCCTCAACTCTCCCCAGACCACTGGGTCTTAACTCGTTACTGAATTTAAGGTCCACCTGTACCCATGCAGTTTAAAAAAAAAAAAAAAAAAGTTCCTTGGCATACACGTAGCATTCCTGCAAACATGGTAAATGTCTCTAAAACCTACTAGGGACTTTCTATAAATGTGGCCAGCACCAAACCCACAGCGACACAGTACTAGAAAGGCAAAGATTTTCTCTATTCCCAGGGAAAGCAGTGTTATGGCATAGAGCAAAGTGGATACGATGGGCAGACTAAGTCAATTTTTCGAAGAAAACCAAATCTACAATGAAGATTGTGCTGAGGCTTGAATGCGTTGAGTCCAACTATAGATCTAAGAGAACGCTTACTACTGAGAGATGCAAACATTCTGAATTGGGAGGTGATGAGAAGATTATGGACCAGGTAATCTGGTTCTAAGCTTCATATCTTGTTTTATTATCAAAACAATTAAAATGAGGGTGAACCATTTATACTGACAGAAAGTTATTGGCAATATAAATCAAGATAGGCAGGTTTCTAAGCTATATTTAAAATATTATCTCATCAGTGTGCTTTTAAAAACCTATAGCAGATACATAAAAATATGGTTTTATATGCACATAATACAAGATGTAAAAGTGTGCATAATACTAACACAAAACATTTACCTTTTTCTTTAAACTTTATACATCATATAAAAGTTTTACCTCCAAATCTGTATTTGACCCAGTATCTAAATTCTTACATGCTTTAGATTTTAAGATCTTCACAAAGTATGTGGCAATTTGCATACACAGTGTTCTCTTCTACCCTTAAAAACTACTTGCTAAGAAGTCTACTAGCTCATAAGCACCTTGAGAGATGGTATCACAGCCATCTTAACCTCCAGAGCCTATGGCTGCTGCCCTTCAAGACACTACTTACTTCCTGGCAAAAACTTCATGCTGAGGGTTCCCACAGCAACAGACTCCACAGGGAATATAAGGCAACAAGAGTTTTCATGTCCTGTAAGATGTGAATTCTGGCGTGGTGCTGTAGGATAAAGCACTGGTCAGCTTGAACCACAAGGTCAGCAGTTCAAACGCACCAACCACTCCTTGGAAACCCTATGCAGGGTCGCTATGAGTCGGAACCAACTCGATGGCACTTAACAACAATGACAAGATGTGTTTCTCAAACTGAGCTTACATGTTCAAAGCTATTATAAACAGACTTATAATCTGCAACTTTACTACTTAAAAAATTATCATTTAAAATTTCCAGGACTTACCCTTTATCAAAAAAAGACGTATGCCCTGAACGAGAGAACTTTGTGCCGTTGCTATTCATCACCCCACAGCTGACATTCCCTGAAATATAGGATTTTCGTGATGCTTGGTCCTTTGCAAAATTCCTGCAAGCTGCTAATTTGGATTCTAAAGCCTAAAAAAAGGAAGACAGAATGATTTGGTTATCTAAAAACAATCACATAAAAATTTGCATTACAAAACATTTGTTTCAAGACCTTGTCCCCTTCGCTCTCTCAGTTGATAATGGTGTTATTTAATCATAATCAATCGCCTTTCTAGTAGAAAGATAAATGTTTATGCTGACTGTCTTTAATGAACTCAAAATGTTTATCCCTGTAAACATTACTTAAGGATGCAGACAGAAGCCTCCCTAACAACTAAGAAACCTGGCACAGGTGGGCAGAGCTGAATCCCAGGTCTCAGGTCTCTGGGCCATCCACTGTTTCTTTCTCAGTTGTGGATCGCTGGCCGGTTGGCAAGTTGACTTGTGTGTAGGTGTGTGTTGGGGGAAGCAAGTACTATAAAGAATCATTTAAGATTTTTTTTTAATGGCAGTCAATTCCTTGTCTGGGTTCTTCAGTTTTGTTTTTCCAAGTAAACCAGAATGGGTAAGAGCATTTACAACACCTCATATACAATGAAAAGCTATTTTATTTCTAAGAGTACACTGTAAACTGCCTAACTGATACCTTGTTTATAATGAAATAATCCACCTGAAAATGCCAGCAGCTCCATAACACTGACCTCCTTATTTAGCACCTGTCACCATAGCACCTGCCCAGTGCTCGGTCTATTATGGAACAAATGGCCAGGAGAGAACAGGACTGTCTCTGGTATTTCCATCACAAACAGATATCATCAACTCCTTGAAACACTTGGGCCAAATCAAGACAATCAAAAGGAAATTCAATCCACGTACACACACACACACACACACAAAATAAACAAAAATAGGGCCCATTCATACTATACATTATACTAAAGAGATGAAGAATGCAGAGATAAATTAAATCCACAGACAATATATACGAGGGACTTCAGAAAGTTTCTGACACTTTGTGAAGTTCCCTCATACTTCACTTTAGACTCCTATTTGTACCTCCTCCCCAAATCATTTCAATAAGTGCTATTAATAAACAGCAATAAAGATTGACTTAAACTTCTTTTTCCTTATCTTATTTCCTATGATAAAAGCACATGAGCAAGTGAAACAGTAACGGAAAGATATCATGTTTGAATAAGAATGATTTCAGAACTTGCTAAATCTACACACAATAGCAACACACAGCCATTCATTTCCCATATTCAAGACACACATGCATTCATTTAAATGTGTGCTGAGCATCTATGCTAGAGCAGGTACAAGTTGTATGTGCAAGTCAGTAAGATGTCCAAGAGCAACAGTGGGCCTAGCGCTCAGGGGGAAGGGGAGAGTCTAGAGAGAAATATTTAAAACTATCTACACCTACTGACAGAGAAATCCTGGTTATAAACAATGTGAAACCAACATAGAAAGATTGGGCAAGCGAAAAACCAACAGTAAAAGAATAAATAGACAGAAAGGCAGCTGAACATGAAACAGAATCAGAAAAGCAGAGGAAGAACACATGTAATTAAAAAAAAAAAAAGTCAGTGTTGTTTCAGGTAAAATTCAGACAGAATAGCAACCATTGGGCTGGGCAGTTTCAGGGACATGAGCAAGGATGAACACCCAGACTAGAATGACCACAGGGAATAAACATGTAAGCAGACAGAGTGCTCTCAACAAATACAGACACTTCTAGAACTGAGAAGGAAAGGATTAGCGTTCAAGAGAGATATAGAGTAAAAGGAGAGCAGGGCTACTTTTATTTGCACTTTTTCACACTAAAATATTACAGAATGTATAACATGTTGTTGTTATTAAGTGCTGTAGAGTCGGCTTTGACTCATAGCAACCCTGTATAAAGTGTCCGAGGCTGCTCTATAGGATAAGCACTAGACTGCACACAAGGTTGGCAGTTTGAGCCCCAGTCATATGCAAAAGAAAGATGAGGCTTTCTACTCCTGCAAAAGACTGAGACCTCAGAAAATATAGTATGTAATACAAACTACATAAATTATATATTTGATGTATATTTTATGTGTACCACCTAAATATCACATCAGTGTTAACATATACAGTAAAGAGAGAGGCTGAAGCTACAGGAGGAATAAAGGTGTGATGAGAAAGCTGAAAGGAACAGAATCCAAAGCATAGAAGGACAAATTAGTCATGAAGAGGAATACGATCCTTTTACCACAGAGACAAAGAGGAAGAATGGCTGCAAACAGAGGAAGGTTGTAACAGGAGGTGAGAGAGGAAATCAAAGAAGTTTAAGTCAGATGGCCTTGATTTGCTCAGTAGAAGAGGATGTAAAAGTGGGGGTTGGGGACCCCAGTTTAAGTTGGTGGACTAAGTAGTGAAAAAAAGTATAAAAAGAAAGGGTCATAGGTGCATGGACGTGGTGAGGGGCACTGGCAGATAACAGCAAGGATTTTGATGACATTTGGAAGATTGATTTCAGGTAAATGGATGAACTATGCAAGAAGTCAAAGTTACACTTTCATGCACCATTTCCGGATACATTTTCCATATACTGCAAAACAAACCAGGAGCAAAGTCAGAAGATGGCATGGGGGGCAAGGAGGCGCAGGCATTGGAAGAACTGATCCAGCAGTACACTGGAGGTTACCAGAGTGACCTATGTCCAGCAGCCCCAGAAGCATAGTAGAGTACGAAAACTAAATGGATAAATGGATGAGAGGAGACACAAAGCAAAGCAAAGGCACGTTCTGTCCATCCACAAAAGAAAGGCAATTAAAAATGCTGAGGCAAACAAGTCAACTGTGACACAGATGATTTAAGAACAAAATGCTTGAAACATTTCTCCTTTGAGGAGCACAAATACAGAGTACACCTCCTCCTCCAAGATTATGGGGTAAACAGCACTTGCTATTATAAAACAGCACTTGCTATTCACTAATTTTTGGAGTCCAGGTGTGGTGCTTGTAGTATAAGCACTGGACTGCAATGTTGATTTGAACCACAAAATCGACGGTTCAAATACACCATTGGCTCCTCAGACACTCTACACAGTGTCGCTATGAGTTGGAGCTGACTCAATGGCACGTGACATCAACAACTACTACTCTTAATAATTTCAGAGTCAAAAATCAGAATAAACAGAAAAACAAGTTAAATATTTCAAAATCAAACTATTTCTTACTATACAGTAAGAAAAAGGCAAAACTAAGAGAAATAACACCGTGAGCCAAAAATTATAACATCCTACAAACATAAAAGGCCAGGGAATGACCAGAAGAATGGTAGATGCAACAAAAAAGTAAATTAGAAGGTGGTAGAAGGTACAGTGGGGCTATAGGAAATACTTTAGACAAAAAAATGGAGGGGTCATCATGTAGAAACAAGAGTGAGGAACAGGAAAAACTCCCAAGTCGGAACGTAATAGCTCAGTGCACAAGACCTTCTAGTGAGGCCCCGGCAAGCTGAAGCCCTGGAGGTCTGTGTCTGGACCACTCTCGCCAATCACTGAAGGCTTTTACTTCTTGGTTTAATTATAGCCTTTACCACTGGAATGTAACCTTTTTTTACTCCCATAATTCAAATGAAGAAATAATTGAACACCTTGGCAGTTTGAAAACATTAGCAATAAATAATGAAATGCTTACCCCTACTTTTCGTAAGAGATCCCCCACAATGTTTAGTGCTGATATCCTAGCAGAAGGAGTTAATGGACTGGTACCAAAACCATTTGGTATAGCTAGAAAGAAGAAAAAAAAAGTTGAGTGATTACACTTGCAGTTCCATTACACTTGAGTATGTTGATGTTACAAAGTACTATATACTTGGTGCAAAATCAATATAGTATTCCAAACTATGGACACAGTATAAAGTGAAGATATTATAAATTATTTAACCATTCACCAACATCTAATGTTTCATCATTACAAAAAAAAAAAAAAAAACTCACTACAAGGACACACATCCTTAATTATCTAGACAAGTATTTCTAGAGAAGACATTCCTAAAAATAGAGCTGCTAGGTCTTCATCATAATTGTTGTTGTTGTTAAGTGCCATCGAGTCGGTTCCGACCCATAGCGACCCTGTACAGGGTTTCCGAGGGTGTAAATCTTTACGGGAGTAGAAAGCCTCATCTTTCTCCCGCGGAGCAGCTGGTAGTTTCGAACCGCTGACATTAAGGTTCGCAGCCCGATTCGTATAGATCCTACCAAAATGTTCTCTAAAAAGTCATGACAACATCAGCAACTCTGTGTGGTATAATCCTTAGTAATATTAGATATTACCAATCTTTTTTAACCCAATTTGTTAAGTTGTTTAAATTTTAGCTCTGTGCTATACAATCATTTGATTCTCTACTTTTGGAAATCACCGCTCACTCTCTGCTCCTGCTTCATCTAACAAATTATCTTAAATTGATAACCCACCATAGCGTGGAGAAGGAACAATATTACACACCTTTTGGGGAAGGAAAACTGTTTTCTGTTCCTTTGCCAACAGGAGTAGCTGGCAAAGAGAGTGACGCTTGGACTGCAGAATCCATCTTCTCACAGTCTAGAGTTGGAGAACTGGGAGCCGACTTTCTGGTTACTTCCTGTTGTCTTTCCCGAACTGCTAGCTCTTGTCTTAAATCTGCAAACACGTTGCAAACAAAGGAAAGCAGATATATCAAGCAAAGTCACATCTAAAATGCCATTTGACATTTTTCCTAAATTACTACTTCTCAAAACAGAATTTCCCATTTAACAGCTTTCAATTACACAACTGTCTTCTATTTCTGAACAGTATTTCAGAATTTAAAAATGCTATATAACATGTGGCACTGTAGGACAAGCACTGGAATCCTAACAAAAGGTAGGCAGTTCAAACACACCAACCACTCCTCAGGAATCCTATACAGGGTCATTATGAATCAGAACCAACTCAGTGGCACTTAATAACATATAACACAAGGGAGCACAGTGGCTCCATATGATAAGCACTGGACTGCACAACACAAGGTCAGCAATTCACAGCCATCAGTCACTCTGAGGGAGAAAGATGAGGCTTTCCGTCCCCACAAAGATTTAAAAAGTCTCAGAAACCTTATACAAGGTCACTATGAGTTGGAACGGACTCAACATCACTTAACAACAACATGTAACTTATAAAGGGCCCTGGTGGCACTGTGGTTATAGCACTGGGCTGTTAACCAAAGGTCAGCAGTTTCACCCCACCAGCCACTCCACAAGATAAAGAGAAAAATGTAGAGGTTTGCTTCCATAAAAATTTATACAGCCTTGGAAACCCTAAAGAACAGTCTACTCTGTCCTGCCTGTCCTATGGGGTCACCATAAGTTGGAATCAACCCAACTTGAAACATTAGTCTATATATATATACACATACACACACACACACACACACACACACACCCTATATGCTACAGGGGAGTCCTGGTGTGATGCTGTAGGGTAAGCACTGGACTTCGAACCGCAAGATAGGCAGTTCAAACCCACCAGCTGTTCCTCGAAAACTCTATACAGGGTTGCTATGAGTCAGAATTAGATGGCTCTTACCAACAACAGGCACTATAGGATAAGTACTGGACTACTAACTATAAGGTTGGTAGCTCAAACCCAACAGCTGCTCCTCAGCTATCCTACACAGAGTCACTATGAGTCAGAACCAACTCAATGACATTTAACCATCAAATCAATTGCAAAAGACCTCTTACAAAGTCCAAAGCTGTCATCTGGAGACCTAAGGTGCGCCTGATCCAAGCCATGGTATTTTCAGTTGCCTCATTTACACCCTCGGAAACCCTGTACAGGGTCGCTATGGGTTGGACCCGACTCGATGGCACTTAACAACAACAACAACAACAACATATGCATGTGAAAGTTGGGACAGTGAATAAGGAAGATAGGAGAACGGAGCATTTGAATTATAGTGTTGGCAAGGAATATTGAAAGTACCATAGACAATCAGAACAAATGTCTTAGAAGTAGTACAGCCAGAATACCCCTTAGAAGCGAGTATGGCGAGACTTCATTTCACATACTTGGAACCAGACCCTAGAAAAGGACATCATGCTTAGTGAAGGAGCAAAAGAGAGGAAGGCTGCCAACAAGACAGACTGATACAGTGGCAGCAACAATGAGTTCAAACATCACAACTGTGAGGATGGTGCAGGGCCAGGCAGTGTTTCATTGTTATGAATAGGATTGTTCTCTATGAGTCAAGGGACCTTAACAACACGCAACTAGCCTATAGAATATTTACTTATGTTAAAAAATGACAGCCTGATACATGCTACAACATGGATGAATCTTGAAAACATTACGCTGAGTGAAATAAGTCAGTTGCAAGTAGGCAAATATTATACGATTTCACTTACTTGGAATACCCAGAATAGGTAAATGCATGTTGTTGTTAAGTGCCGTCGAGTTGATCCCGACTCATAGCGACCCCATATAGGGTTTCCAAGGAGTGACTGGTGAGTTTGAACTGCTGACCTTGAAGTTCAAACCAACCTTATCCTACAGTGCTATGCAAATGTATAAATATCATATTTTATTAGTGGTTACAGGGGTGAGTGGGTGGGAGGAGGAAAGACCCGATGTTGTAGGGACACTGAGCTCCTTTTAAGCTTACTTCATACTCTGGCTTAGGGATATTATGGTAATGTTATTGTTAACTGCCAACGAGTCGGTTCCAACTCATAGTGACCCTGTTAAATATATTTAAGTTATAAATTTTACCTCTTGCTTCATCCTTTAACCTCTGTACAGATACCAACAAAGATTCCTTTTCATCAAGTTCACTTTCTAAAAATGCATTTCGTTCAATAGCCTGATTTAGCCTTTGCTCAAAATCTTCCAATGAAACTATTGTTGCTCTAAAAAAAAAGAGAGAGAAAAATTAGAATCCACAGACTAAATAAGAAACAAGTGCAAATAACTACTACAAAAGGGAATTGTTAATTTATCTCCTGCCATTTCCTGACCTAGCCAGCCTGGCTCAGTTCAAAGAGAATGATCTCATCCCTTTCTGACCTCCAGTGGCATTTAGCATCTCAACTATCATTTGGGGACATCCAATATAGTCTATTCTCTTAAATCCCCATCTAAAGTTCTTAAAGTTCCTTAAAGGAAGGACATTTATTACACACTTCATAATCGCCATTGGGTTTTAAACACAATAAAATGTACCTTTTCAGGAAGAAAATTTGTCAGTAGTTACAGGGTATATAAATAGTAACAGGGAATTTGTTTAAAAAGCAAAGTCCCTGGTCCTGCTTCAAAGTTTCTAACTCTTTAAAGTCTGGCACGTTATAAATGCCCGAAGTGGGCATTTAAAACAAGCTACCCACCACACATAAAAGGAGTCCTGGTGTGGCGCTGTGGGTTAATGCACCAGACTGCAAAACCGTTTGAACTGCAAGGCTGACGGTTCAAGCTCACCAGTTGCTCCTCGGAAACCCTATACGGGGTTGCTATGGGTTGGAACTGACTTGACAGCACTTAACAACAGCAACAACAACCCACCACACATACACTTAATTCTGAGAAGGATGTTTTGAGAAATACTGACTTATATGCTAAAGGTTCCCAAATGCACATCTCTAGCTGGAAACTCCCTTCTGAGCACCAGATTTGTATTCTTAAAGTTCCTTTAAAAAAGGAATTAGTTCCTCAAATTCATTTATATCCTGCCAACCCTTTTCTTCTTTCATTTCTCATCTTACTTATTCAATAAACATTAATACACATCTACTATGGGCTATCTACTACAGAAATGCAATTCCCTGCCCTCAAGTTAGTACTATTAATGCCATGACCAATTTTATTACGTCTTGTCAACTGCCAAAATATCTCTCAAAGGCATTTCTTTTTCCAGCCTTGTGCCAGTAGCTTAATTCTTCATTTATCAATTGGATTATTTCTCAATGGTCTTCATAGTTCCTCCTCCCCATTTCCTATTACTTAATATTCTCAAACTGAAATCTGGTACTACTCCCCTTTGTCAGAGAATCATAAGGAGAGCTCTCCACTGCCTGTAGAGTGACTTTCAAGCATGACACAGTGGGGTTCTTCATAACCTGGCCCAACCACTCTCCAGCCTCATCTCCTTTGGATACAATGTCTCTACACACGTCTATCACAGTGAAACAGCAGTATCTCATACACTGTCCTGCCTGTCTTTGAACCTCTGCCTTCACCTGGTTAGCATCTATTCTTCCTTGCAGATTAAGATCTACTGTCTGCAAAGGCTTCTCCAATTCATCTAGGAATGCTAGCTGTTCCTTCTCTAAGCCCTGTAGCAACCTACACACTCCACTGACGACAGTATTTATCATAAAGCATACCTGACACCCCCTTAAGGGCAATTAGTAGCCTATGTTTCTAACCTCAACCCTAGCATCTGACATGTACTTAGGAGTCAATCAATAAACATTAAGGAAAGAAATACCAAGGGATAATTATAAAGCAACATGAATTACTTGGCAAAATCACAGCAATCCACTGTAGGCTGTTGAGCAAAATCATAATGAATGCTCTATTTGAGATAAATCATCTGTCACTTTTAAACAGAAGAGAATGAAAACAAGCAGTAAAAATTTAGAGACAAAGTTCAGTTGGGTGATGACTGTCAAATTCAGATATAAGATGTATGAACCTACAAAAAGCACAGTAGTACTCAGAATATAGAGGGAAGATGGAGGAATGAATGAGATGAGATTAAAAGAAAACCTTCTAGAACTAACAACTGCACAAGAAAAAGGAAAACTTGAAAAAGAAAAGCTTGGAAGGGGAGATAAAGGATTCTCTCTGGGGAGATGAGGATTTTTGGTTAGTTACAATCAATGAGTTATAGATGACATGCAATACCAAAAGGAAATGTTCTGGGACCAAGATCTAGGTAAGCCTGAAGACACACATCTTAATCACTGATCCCAACTTTGCTTATTCTGACAAAAGGTACATCATTCAGCTAGCTACCTTTTTGCTCGCTCCAGGTCATCATTGGCCTGCTCCAGTTCTCTCACATACTTATGCAACTGCTCCTTAATGGCCCGCGTCTGGCTTAAATCATCTTCTAGTACTGAGACCTGCTTGTAGCTCTGTGCATACTGATGTTCTAGTTTCTCCTAAAGACATGAGGATAGGGAAGAAAGTATGTGTCAATAACATATAGTTTTTAATTAAGCATGCAATCCAAGTTCAAGGGAAACAAACAAAAAACACACAGAATTCACCCACAATCTCAGTTGACAGTCCCTATCTTTTTTACAGTACTTAAAACTACATGACATATTCTAAGTGCCTTGACTCAGAAACATTTAGATTATCAACCATTTTCCTTTCAGAAAGATATCTACTAAAAATCTAATACTAGCTCTCTAAAAAGAAATAAAACCTTGCACTCAAAAACACCCAACTTGATGAGAAAACCTCAAGTTGGTTCTCAGACTGAATCCAGGCTAGGGTTAAGTACAGAGACGTAAACTGCCTCTCAGAATTCAAATTTCTTCCTTCTGCCTCTTTTCCCCACCTTCCAGCCTACCCACCCACACTCCAAACACAGAAACACCTCTTAGCATTTTTTTGGCATGTGGTGAAGAGCAACAAAGGGGTTAATCCATTTACTCCTCAAAATCCCTTTTTAGAAGGAATGCTTAACCCAAACTACTCCAAAATGGAATGGGCTAACACCAATTATTAAATGATTTCATATAAATGTCATTTGAAAGTATTGCACAATGAGGCAATCTCTTGTCAAAACAATCAAGCAGCTTTTGAAAAGAACTACAATGAAATATTACATAGTTAGGCACACTGTAGCTAGAAAACTGATACCTAAGAAGAAGTTTCTAAGAGAACTCCTAACTATAAACCTTTTCTATGGTCCATGAAAAAAAAATTGTTTTTTTTCACTCAAAAATTAACTTTAAGACTCTTAATATTTTCTTGTTGTCTGCTACTCTAAAGTTCCACCTGAAAAATAAGATTTCTCATTTTAATACAACTCAGCACATTAGACACTAACTTCAACTGCTACAATTACCTTTAATGCTTCCACTTCATATTTCAATCTTTGGTTATCAGCTTGCAAGTCTCTATTTCTTTGTTCCGCCTGTACTAACTGTGCCTCCAATTCTGCTTCTAATTCTCTGCTTCCTTCCTGGAATTCAACTAGCTCATCTCGAGCTTCCTGGAAGCTAATCAGAAACAAAGTAGAAAAGATAAAGTTAGAATATGAACCACAGCATCACCTTGCAGGTTATCCGTTATCAGTTCAATTATTTGGGGCTGGTGCTAATGTTACCAGAACCAAAACCAAACCTACTGACTTCAAGTCGATTCTGACTCAGTGATTCCTATAGGACAAAGTAGAACAGCCTGACAGGGTGTCCAAATCTTCTTTTCTTCACAAAAAACAGACTGCCACATCTTTTTCCCAGCAGCCAATAAATAGATTCAAACTACCAACCTCTCTGTTAGCTGCCAACCCCTCAGTCACTGTGCTACCAGGGTTCCTTAATGCTACTGCTGAGTCTACTCAACAACAGACAATCTGGTGTGCATTTCTTACTCAACATATATTCTGGGTTCTATGTAACGTAGTGTTTATGAATCGGGCTGCGAAGTGCAAGGTCAGCAGTTCAAAACTACCAGCTGTTCTGCAGGAGAAAGATGAGGCTTTCTGCTCCCATAAAGATTTACAGCCTCAGAAACTATGTACAAGGTCGCTCGCTATGAGTCAGAACCAACTCCACAGCACATAACCACTACCACCACGACAATTAGCTGTAAGCCCCCAAAACTTACAAAAAGTCTACATATGGATCAGTATTATTAACTTCTTCCTCCATAGAACTGAGTGGTAATCCATGAATTCAGACGTGGGCAGGTTGGGAATGCATCTTTATTTTTATGAAAGTAACTGAAACTTAGTATCTCCTTCCACTGTGTTCAATTGAAATCACAGCTCTTTCACAGCACAGTCATTATAGATCGCTCTATCATTTATTCCCATCACTACCTCAAAACTGTGAAAGGTCAGCTGTTCAAATCTACCAGTCACTTCATAGATTAGGCTTTCTGCTTTACAGTCTCAGAAACAGGGCCACTATGAGTCAGAACCAAGTCAACAGCACACAACCACCACCTCCTCAAAATTTTGATAGTTATTACTCTCACCCCTAGATCTTTTAATTTAATGCATGTTGCGGACCATGTAAGACGCTTAATAAAGAAGCGTATTATTACTATGCCAAAAATTACTTTACTATTTAGATATCCGTCATTCCTTTATTCACCTATTATTTAATTGCTGCACTTAAAAATAATATTCTGAGAAAGAGTCCATAGGTTTCACAATCCTATTAAGGTGAAAACAACACAAAAAAGATGAAGAACCCCTGCCTTAGACATACCCCTTCTATATCCGCCTGCACAGTGTCATAAGTGGCTTCAGTGAGAACCATGAAATAGCAATGAAAGGTTTGACAGGCTTTGTAACTGTTACCAACTTGCTTCATACTCCTGAAGCTCTTCTCCTTCCCATAAAGCTTGGTTGGCTGCAGACACTGATGATACTATAGCCTAAAGAGAACTAAGGTCTAAACAGCTTATTGCCGCTGTTTTTAAATGCTGTCAAGTCAGTTCCAATTCATAGCGACCCTGTATATGGTTTCCTAGGAGCAGCTGGTGAGCTTGAATCGCTGACCTTGCTTGCAGTCCAGCGCATTAACCCACAGCGCCACCTCCAAATGGCCAGAATGAGGAGGCAGAACTTGCACACATACAGCAGGCCAAAGACGGTCAAGTATAGTGACAAGCATAAAATGCAGTAAACCAACAGAAGAAATCAAAAATGACACAAAATTTTCTCATTATTCTAATACTTTGAATAACACACAGATTTATGATGTCTTTATGCTACTTAAACACAAGCAATGTTATGGTTCAAACTTACCAGCTACTCCTTGGAAACGCTATGCAGGTTCTCTGAGTCAGAAACCGACTCGCCGACACCCAACAATAATGTTAATAGTTGTTTCTAGAATCCTGACCCCCAACCTAAAACTCTACATTTAGCTTTACGTTCTTTTTTTTTTTTTTTTTTTTAAAAACACACTAAACATGACATTCAAATGCCCTTCCCTATTTTCACTGTGCTTATCAGCATTACCTTTGTTTATACTTCAAGGAAAGTTCCTTCCAATAAGCAGTTTCCTCCTTTAAACTTGAAAAATCTGGTATATCTTCACCATCCATGATCAAGAAAGCCTGTAAAATATCAAAGAACGCCTGTGTTATCAATTAAACAGAGAACATATGAATCTAAGTAAAAGAATAAAACGTGGGACAACTAAATCTGCAGCATTTTGGAGAGAGTTAAACATAATAGTCTGTAAGTAGTTAAGTAACGTAACTCAGGCAAACAAATCACTGCCCACTCTCTAGCACTACATGAGGCCATGACAAGAGATGACATCAACCAAGTCTCCTAAGGCATTTTTGGTTGTAGTGAAGTGGTCCCACAGCAGTTTATGGACCACTGGTCTTCAGAGCTTGGTGACAAAAACAAGCATATCCCAGAATAACTGCTCCTGCATGCCCTTCTCTATTGCACTACTGCTTCAAAACACCTGCTTGTAACGTTTTAGGCCAGGTGACCCTACATGGAGATCAGGTGCCACATTCCCAATCATTTACTACAGTGAAACCAGTAAGACTGGAATTCCACAGGACTGCCTTGTTTTTCCAGGTCTTACAAGTTTTCTGCCATTGACAGGATGCAGTCTTACCACTTTTCTAACACTAGGAGTGAACAATAGTTGAGTCGGCTTTCACAGGCTTTACTGTATTAATTGGGTGAAAGATGAGTTAAGTCTATTTCCAACTCCACAGCACACAACCACCACCACTGTATTATGTATTACCTTTCTAAAAACTTACTGTTAATTATCTTTAAGTCCAAAACTTCCTCCAAAAGTCCACTAACCCAAGCCTCAATGTTCTTTCATCTTGGTTTGTCTCCCAAGGCATTTGAGGCAAGGGGAGAAGGAAGAGGGGATAGGAGGGAGGGGAAGGG